ATCTCAAAAGAATAGAGAGGGGAGAAAAAGAATAAAAACTGGAATAAACAGGAAAAAATCAAGAGTATAAAAATAAGGTGTTACAGCTAGGTAATGTCGATGGAATAGACAGACACTAAGGCAAAAACCATTAAGAGATACAGGGATACTTTATATTGAAAAACGTTCAATTTACTAGTAAGATAACTCCAATTTTATATGTACATTGTCTCAAAGTCTACAAAGCAAAATTCGACAGAAATACGAGTAAAACACAGACTTACTTGTCTGAAAAGTGGCTGCATGCAGCTGTCACCCACACCCACCAGTCAGGAGGACCTTTGGAGCCGGGACACAATAGGAAGGACGCTATTGGGAAGAGACACCTCGCTCTGTAAGAGCCGCTGCATTCTTAACCGTGTGACGGGGGGAATCGGACAAGATGGCTTTCCTCTTTTATCTGGGGCATGGTGATTGCTCAGAACCTTTTAGAAATGTGTGGGAATAATCTCAGTACCTCCTGGCCATATCATGTGACCAGCACAGGCCCTATGGGGAGTGGGGGCTGCAGCAATGCTACCACATACGTGTTAGCCACGTGAGGGCATCAGCCACCCTGACTGGGGGCGGAGGGAGGCCGGGAGGAGACACAGAGAGGAATCAAATGGGCAAACAGCATGGGGACGGATGGGTGAAGATTGTTTGCAAAAGCCACGATTGTACTAGTAAGTAAAGGAACGTAAGATGCAGGTGTTTATAGACAATACGCTTTTCAAATCACAAACGGAAATATAATGTCAATTGTTAGGATAAAAGAATTTTTGAAAAAAAGTTGTTTGGACCAATTTTTGGAAAAAACTGCTCTACATAAAACTTGGTAAATATTGATGTAGGCACACTTATGTACATTTGTAGGAGCTTCTGGGTTCTGGATGTGAGTTATAACCGTGTGTTGGGTTTGTGACAATTCATCCACAACATGCACACCGAGGTGTGCATTTTTGTACGTACAATATGCCTGCACAGCCTGCACTGGCCAGACCACCTCTGGGCTGTGGTTTCCGCACGTGAGTGCTTCATTCCGAGAAGCAGTAGGCGGAGGCAGACACACAAAGAGGAAGGGGATGCACAATGAAGGGGCTATTCAGCTGAGAAAAGGCAGGCCTGTGGGGGGCGCTGTTAGGAGTTTTTGTGCAAGAGGATTGACTGTGCTGTTTACTGAGGCCCACTGCAGCGATCAGCCCCACCCATGTGACCTCGGGCAGCCACTCATCTCTTTTTGTCCTGGTTCCACCGAGACAAATCGCAGGAGCTCGCCTATGTGGCCTGAGAATGCTGTAAGTTCTCAAGTGCTATAAACACTGAAAGGTATGTATAGAAAACATGTTTAAGAACGCATTTCAACCTGGCTGGTGTAGGTCAGTGGATTGAGTGCGAGCTGCGAACCAAAGTGTCGCAGGTTCGATTCCCAGTCAGGGCACATGCCTGGGTTGCAGGCCATGACCCCCAGCAACCGCACATTGATGTTTCTCTCTCTCCCTCTTTCTCCCTCTCTTCCCTCTCTAAAAATAACTAAATAAAATCTAAAAAAAAGAGAACACATTTCAAACACGTTAACTGGTTCCCCCACTCATGTTATCCTTTCATGTTGCAAGTATGCGTCACTCCACACCTTTGAAACGGGATGGATAGTTAACACGTACATACAGGGCCCGGCAGGAAGAAGGCCTACCTGAGTGTGGTCAGTAGGGTAATGATATGGGTGTGATAATTTATAGTTTTAATTTGAACATTTACATCTGAAATGTCCTGTAGTGTGCTTGAGTGTGATACTGTTATGTTACAGAATTACATGCTTATGATGTTGTAATAAAGATTTTGTAATAAAAAGGGGGCATTATTGGTGATGGACCCTGTATTTACATGAAGCAGAAGGTGCTATATTCACCTCAAAAGTTACTTCTGCACCGAAGCAGTAATTTAGGGGTTGGTTCGCGTGTCCAGATTGTTCCAGACCCATTAAGCCTACTAAATAAAAGAGTGATTCGGAATCTACATTTGGACAGAGACGTATTATTTTAAATTCAGAGCCTAAGAAGCCACACCACAGTTCTTGGTCTCAGCTGAGGTCACCGTAGGCCTTGACAAACGTGTCCACTCTTAGGAGGCCTCCAGAGTTGCGCTGAAGAACAAGCCATTTTTCTGGCCCCTGACGGATGGTGACCGGGAGACCCTCTAATGCCAGGGTGGCATTTCCACCTGCCAGGTGGCCGGAAGCCATGGGTCCCCGTGACAACACGCTGTCTGCCAGACTGATGTAGCAAGTGGAGGACTCTGGGGTTAGGGCCCAGGTGCCGGAGCCACCCCCACAGCCCACCACCTCCCCCGCCCACTGTGTACCGACATCTGCGTGGCGAGCTCGTGCGCAGTGTTCAAGGCTGTGACAGGTAAGTCACTCCTCACCCATCAGAGCCACCAAAGTGGGAAGCACCCTAGTGCCCAGCTACCAGGGCTCCCGAGAGGACTGAATGAGGTAATACTGTACAGCACTTAGAAAAATGCCAACAGGTGTTCAAAACACGTTTGCTCCAAAAGGGCAGCGCTCCCCGGGAAAGATGGCGGCAGGCCTGGCAGAGAGGGCCCCAGCCCAGTGTGGCCCGGAGCAGAGAGGAACAGGGGTGCCCAGTGGACAGCCACGGGCCCTGGAGTACTGAGGGCCGGGTGGACGGGAAAGGGCCAGCGGCATGGGCAGTGTGCATGCTCTGTTGAACAGCGCCCCCACCAGGAGAAAGAGGAGCCTGGCAGCTACTAGTGCATGTAGTAGGGACAGCAACCTGGGCACTGCAGGGGGTGGCAACCGGCACCCAGGGCTGCAGGCAGCTGAGAGACCGGGCTCAGGGCGTAGGGCCATCTCCTAAAGGCAAAGGGGGCCTGTGTGACCAGGAAGTGAAGGCTGTTCAAAACCAGAAATGCCTGGATCACGGTGACCTGGCACAGGTGAAATACTCTCTTACTGGTAGAAATCAGAGCTTGTAAGTCGTATTCAATCTCAGCGGTATTATTCCTTTCAGATACACGTGCCTACCCAACTTGTACGGACCATCATAACTCATAACCCGGATGTCTTCCCTGGGCCGCCCTCTGAAACCTGGACTCCCACCTAAAACCCCCGGACTCCCACTCTGACTTCTGTCCGACACGGAGGTGCGTAGGGGCCGTCTGTGTGCAGCTCCGCCCCACAGAACGCCCTGCCCGGTGGGAAGGCACCTGGAATGCAGCAAGCAGCCAGAGGAACAAGCATTTGTATTCGTTTAAGTTTAATTAAGTTAAACTTAAAAACCTCGGGATGGGGGTTGCCAGCGATGGTGGGTAGACGTGAACCCCCTGGGGCATCGTAGAGGCAGCCCGGGCCAGATCTCACGAGGAGCTGAGTGGTGGCGATCTGGAGAGTAGGGGAGTGCAGACTCGGACCCCACCCGGGTTGCTGGCCGGAGCTGCTGGCCGGAGGATGCCATTTGTGAGACAGGGAGCAGCGGGGGGACGCATGGACCCTGGGGCAAGGAAATAGCAGCTCTGCTACGGACACCTTAGGGTGCGTCCGCACACACGGCCCCCTTTCCTGGTCTGCACGCCCCGGGTTTCTCCAGGTGAGTCCGCTGATCTCTGTTCCGGTCTGTACGAGTCTTACTTCCAAATATTGGAAGGTAAGTTTTAGAGTTGGAGGTTGGTTTCCTGCCCCTCACATACTTTCTACATAAAAAGTTCCTAGTTTACTAGCACGTTTTATTCCAGAGGATCTTTTTTTCAGTCGTCTGAAAGTTTGAGTGTCTGGATTCATAGGAGCAATCTTACAAATCGAGCTAAACTTAGCTACTCCGACAAGCCTGTAACGTGAAGTTCGTGACACTAACGAGCAGTAGAATGTGATTCGGGGTCGTTTCCATGGAAAAACACCAAAGCCTACTCAGGGACCCTCTAGACTGTGCTGTCCCATGCAATAGCCACTAACTCCACGTGGCCATCTACAGGTAAATGACCTCACACCAAATCAGAAACTCGGCTCCTCAGTCCCACCAGCCCCGTTTCAAGTGGTCGGGAGCCACCTGTGGCAGGTGGTGGCTACCACACTGGAAAGGTGGATATAAGACTGTCCCGCCACCCCAGAAAGTTCTAGTAGACGGCGCCCAGTTGACTGCACGGTTCCCGGGGGAAGCTGACGGTAAGAAAGGAGGAGCATGTGGCCAGGGTGTGTAGGTGACAGGGAGGTGTTGGCGGGGGGCGTGGGGGGGGGCCTGCGTGGGCCTGCGTGGCACAGTGCTACGTTTTCTAAGTCTTGACAAGATCCTGAGGATGGGATCTTTGGTCTCCCCAAACTACGGGGGCCAGGACAGGCCCTGGGGTCAGAGAGGACCAGCTGGAACCCTGGCACCCAGCTTCAACAGCTGGGGACCCTGGAGGGTCACTGACTTCCCAGAGCCTCTGTTCCCTCGCCTGCGGCCCTCGTCTCGGGAGAACACGGACTGCGGGGGAAAATCTGTCTGTGAAATGAGGCGTGTCCAACCATGTAATCACTCTCCCCTCCGCCTCCACGGGCTGTCAGCAGACAGCAGGGCATGAGCCACATCTCGGCGGCTGTTGGGAAGCCCACGCCAGTGCCCAGAGCAGCGTCTGTCCAAAGGGCGAGTCCCCCTACCCGCTGCCCCCCATCAAACGCCGTGAGCTGCGCAGGTAACCCACTAATGCCCAGCAGTGCTAACTCCCAGAGCTAACCGACACCTCGCAGTGTCGTCCTGCAATGCTGTGCAAGAATCCTACCCACAAACTGAGTATCAGAGAGCAGTGAATAGTTCGACTCTTACAAAAAAATCAAAGAAAAACGAAACCGATTTGAAAATGGCAATAGTTTAATGATCCCATTTGACTCATGGTCATTTACCCTGTCTCAAAGGAACGATCAGTCGTTTTCTGAATGTTCTCATACCTGAAAGTGAAACTAGTTCACAGAATAAAAACATACATAATCCAGTGTCAAAATCTGGTGATTTAGAGAAATCACCCCTGTTTATTTTTTCCAACAGAAAGAAAAAGAACATGGTTCCGTAATTCAGTGTCTGGGTCACGGGCAAACACCGTCGGCACCACTGGCCGCGGCGCTCCAGGCTGTGAGCTCCGTGGCCCGCATGGACAGCCCACGGGCCTCCCACGGGTCGAAGACAGCGGAGAACCCGCGCACCAAGGTCATGTGGGTTGGAAATAAGATGCCCAGCACCATGTGCACGAAACAAAAATCTTGGGGGAAAAATGTGGATCTTGAAAGGAATGGAAATACTGCTGTTGTTGGTTTTTTCCCTTTTAATGATTGATGTTTGGTGTCTGAAGTCCACTGTTCTGCTGTAAGGAAGGAGCTGTACGACTTTGTACGGAAAGCGACAGGCCACGGGCTAACGAACAAGCCTCTACTCCCGGACATTACAGCCTTTCCCCCGAAAACCCTCCTCCGTGATTTCTGTGGTGGTTCAGAAAGGAAAGACAATGATTTCAAGTATTCAATTCCTATCAAAAGCTGGTATCAAAAGTAATAAAGGACCTAATCTTTGTAATTCCACATTTTAAAAATAACTTAAGAAGCAAGAGGTCTGGCCCTCCCCTTGTATAAATACTGCAGCGTGACTAGAGTTTCTTAAGACAGCGTGGCGAGGAGTCGGCGTTCAGCACCTCGATCACGGACCGTAGCGTCGGGAACGTCTCTGAGACGGCCGGGAGGGTCTTATAAGAAGGTGAGATGCTGAAAGAGAGAAATACAAAGATGGCGTGTGAACAGTAACGCAACTTTACAAAAAAGGCAAAGCTTATGCTATGTTTATTCCTATTACAATATTCCCTTCCCAACACTCTGTAAATAATGCTGGACAATTGTTACGAAAAGGAGGAGGCGCCGTGAACGGAACAGACCCTTCTGAGCAGAGGACTGGGGCACTGGAAGGCTCGTGCGTGAGCCGCTCAGAGCTTCAACCAGAGTCTCCGGGGAAACAGGAGGCTCTGGTTTCCACGTGACTGTTCTGTTCACATGTCGTGGTAGCGTGTGCACTGCACCGGAATCAGGGGACACAGGTTTCGGGGCATTTCGTGTCCCTTACTGGCTGTAGCCATTTCTCTGCGGTCGCTCCCTCCCCGACCTGGAGCCACAGGGACGGCGCTAACTCGCGGAGCTGCTGTGGGCATGGGCTGCGATGACGCAGTCTAAGGGCACAGGAAAGCGGTAACTGCACAAGGTCAGTTGCTAGTGTCACTCTTTCCTGTAAAACCGGTTGAAAGATTAACCCTGTAACATTGTGTAAGAAACAGGAGGGAGAGCTCAGACCTTAGGGTCATCCTACTAAGCCACGAGTAGAGTAGGAAACCTAAAACGAGAATGTACTGGGAAAAGGCGTAACTGTTAGGAATTTTTATTACAACGCTAATGGAATGTTACAGATTGAAGAAGACTGTGCTACAGACGTGAACTTCTCTGTTTTAAACAGAGCACATACTGCCCAGCAATTCTTACAGTGGCTGCTGCGTCAGTCAGACCACTGGGGAAGGTGGTTACAAAGGAGAAACCACGGGGAGGAGCAGGGCCCAACAAGACCGAATAGTGAGACGTGCTTCTCCTTCGTTAGCCACTGAAGCGTCTGTGCACTCCTTCCCATCCACGCTGACCCTCCTCCACGGTGCTTCCAGACACCTGAGCCAGGGAGGCCAGAGTCGCCGCACGGCTGGCCCAGCCGCACCATGGTAATTTCTGGTTCGGGTTCCCTGACTCACACGCGCTTGTCGCCTGATTCAGAACAAAGTGCCACCTTCTCCGAATCGAGAGAGCAGTGAAGGTGCAGCTGGAAAGGCAGAGCACAGCCCCCGGGAGCGGGGAGACTGGGAGGATTCAGCCCAGTTTTCGGATCCACTCGTCAGAACTGACCCCCAGCCTTCGGGACGCACGGTGAGCCAGCCAGGAGAGACGAGTGTCTGATCACATCTCTAAGACACCTGTGACTTTCTGTCGACAACTAACGAGTGTCTTTATTTTTTATTCATTATTCATTTCCATCCACATACTCACCCTTTAGGGGATCATACACAACAGCCAAACCTTTTCACCTTTAAATTCACTGTTCTCTAGGAACTCATGGAAAAGAGTACTATCCTGGTTTCTGCGGCAGCCCCCAAAGTAACAGGCGGTCCCTTTCCTCCCTCTCTGTTGCAATACCCTTTTGTTGACCCTCATCAAGTGCTGACCTTTTCAAGTTCATCCAGCTTTTGGCTATTTTGCTGAAGGCCTCTGAACCAGGGGCTGTCATAGCTTCAAAGTCAACTAGCTGAAAAAGAGAGACATTGAGGAGTGTGAGCAAATGGGGAGGCGAAAGGCTCCCACTGGCATCCGTTCAACCCTCGGATCTTCGCACGAAACCCGCACACTGGGGTCTAAACACAGCCAGGCGTACCCCACCCAGGGGCAGGGCCAACCTACCTTCCCTTTGGGGATTTTCCCTGATACTTCTTTTCCGCTTGCCATCAGCGCTCCCACAATCACCGAATAGGCGATCACACTGTCAACAGAGAAGCGTCGCCCGTCAGTCCGACTACAAACAGCTGCTGAGCGCGCTGGGGACTTCCCCTCGTAACAGAGGAACTTTTCTTTCTTTTACAAGTCTTTGGACATTAGACATAAGAACTAGTTTCATTTGGTTTAAAAAGTATTTATTAATTTACTACTAAATATATATATATTTATATAGGTATATGCTTATAAATATATTTGTAAGTAAATATATATATATTTATTTAAGAAAAAATGTGACCAAATGTATTCTTTTTCTAAGGGAAAGAAAGTTCTTATTTTAATTAGAACATTTCTTCCCATTTAGTGTTTACATTCTTCTGAAACAGTGAATTAGAAAATGTGCTTATATTTTGAACAACTTCATGAAGCTTGGTTTTAAAACGTGTGCCTGCAACACGCCTTGCAAACACAGACTGGTCTGGTCGTCTGAGCGCGAGCACCCTCGGGCCCTCAGAGCAGCAGAGTGCACACGTTCCCGCAGCACCGACAGGCGGCCTGAAAGCCGACCCGCGGTGTCAGCCCCCTCCCGGCACGGACAGGCCCGCTGGGATTCTGACAGCTGCACTGCACACCGACAGTGCCCCTGGGCAAGGTAACCAGGATGGGGCCCCGCCTCTGACAGGGAAGGGCAGCCCACGCGCAGTGAGGCCCACGGGGGGGGGGAAGGCCCACAGAGGCCAGGGCAGGGGCGCTGCCCCTCCAGGGCCTGCAGCGGGGCGAAGGGGGCAGAGGGGCAGGCGGGCCGCAGGCCGGCACGGAGGGAGCAGCACACGTGGGGACATGAGGGTGTGAGGAGAGGCAGGAGCGGTGGCGGGGAGAGGACCCTCAGGAGTTCCACAGGGCAGGTAAAGGGGGGAGGTGACGGGGCCAGCGTAAACCGGGGCAGGACAGGGCCGGGCCGGGCATGATGCCACCGTGTCTGCACTGGGGCCAACAGGCGTGCAGAGCCGGGCGGGGGAGTGCGCGGGGGCACAGAGCGGGGAAGCAGCGAGACGAGTGAGCAAGGCTGTGGCGGGGGAGGACAAGGGTCTGCGTCACGGCTGTGGCAGTGGGCACAAGGGAGAGAGAACTGGGGGTCAGGAGGCGGAACCAGCAGGGTTTGGGGACTGAACAGAAGTGGGGACGGAGGGTGACTGGAGCTCGGCTTCCTTCGCACGCCACACAGGAGCCCCGAGTGGCAGAGGACAGTGACCACCGTGGGGCGTGTGCACAGGGCTGGCCTGCAGGTGGCGCTGCAGATGGGTCTGATGCACAGCTCTGCTCAGAGGACCCCGCCAGTCCCAGTTGGCCGATACTGCAATATTCAGGCTCCTATTTTGTTTCGATGCCTTTTTAATATTATAATGAAACTTACTACAGCATTTAGAAGAGTTTTAAAGTATTAATAAAGATGGGTAAGTAATTATTTCAGCGAAAACATCTCGAATTTAAGTATGTGTTAGCCACAGCTGCAGAAGTGATTCGCTGTGCACGGCGTCAGGTGAAGAACAGAAAGGCAGCCCTGCAGACACCTCCCCGTGTCAACGACATCCGACCCACTCCTGGCGGGCTCGTAAGAAGCCGGAATTTATTCGCAGCAATAAAAATACCACGGGGGGGTTGGTGATGCAAAAGTGTAAAACATTAGGGCTAAAGGCCAACGAACGGCCAGACCCTGGGGGAGGGGAGAAGAGGGCAGGGTGACAGCTGTGGGGGTGGGCACCACAATGGAGTCGCAGGGAGCGGGCGCCCACGCACAGCAGCCTTCAGTGATCGTCGTGTGTGTGTGTGTGTGTGTGTGTGTGTGTGTGTGTGAGCCCGCGCCTGCAGAACGCAGGCACACAGCGTAGGGACCCTCTCGCACTCCCGTTGCTGGTCCACTGCTGGGCCAGGGAAACACGAGGGGGTGGAGGTCGAAGCAAACCAAAGGGGGCCTCTTGCCGCCGCTCGGGGCACGTCTGCACACACACCCACAGCAGGAAGCGTGAGCAACAAGGAACACGTTTCTCAACGTGAAACCTTTAGAATTACAGGACATTACTCACCTGGATCCTCGTGAGAGCGGCATTAAATTATAAAAGTAGTAAACTAAGGATAAGATTAAGTTGCAAACAGCGTCAGCCTCCTGGAAGAAGAAGACACATGCTCGTGAACGTAAACCAGACGACCAACCGCACAGGTTTCTATGGGGTGGGGGGCAGGACTCGGAGCACCGTTTCACGGGGGGGGCAGGCGGTTCTTCCACTCCTCTCCCACTGCTGAGCGCCTGACGCTCCTTCGCACAGTTTTGCTGGTAAGAGGGGACACACAGTCCAGTTCGGAGCAGTATCCTCCCAGCTGTTAACACTGCAAACTTTTCTGACAAACGCAGACACCTCAGTCTCCTTTAACGTTACTTGCGATGTCAAAACATACATGGAGATTAAAATAAAACAAAGCACTGAATGACACCGACTGTGCTTTCTACAAGCCACCCTACCTGGAAAGATTCCGGTAAGAGCCCCTCTGCACACAGATTTAGGTGGTAAATATGCTTAATTCTGTATTAAAACTCAGATGCTTAATTATATCAATTAACTGATTAAATGCAAGAGACCTAAGGTGCTTTCCTGAAGCCATGGGCCCCCATTCCAGAGCGCGGATGGCGTCATGGACTCCCGGCACGGTGACTGACGGCTGCAGCCACAAAGGTGACAGGTCAGATCCTGCCACTGAGGGGGCCCCCCTTGAGTCGGGGTGGGCAACGGAGGCCGGGAAAGGTCATTTTCATTATGGATCAAATTTTTTCATTTAAGTCATGCAGAAGCCCACATTTATGATAATACAGTAAAAAATAAATGTATTTCTCCCTCCCCAGTTGCTGTCGTTACTAAACATGGGAACTATTCCAGTAAGAATAACAAAAAATATTTACAGGTCCCTGAAAGCTGATTTCAGGCATAAAATGTACAATCCCAACGAAAGGGCAGAGGCGTTCCGAAGTTCACCAGGACTCGCGGGACTCGAGGGTGACAGGGAAACACACACCTACCCCAAATTCTGACGAAAGAACGAGGACTTTTCCTTTGGCCGTGAGGTCTTTATAAAGTGCATCTATTTCGGCATGGTACAACTGTGTCCTTTCTTCTGTGGTCTGAGTTTCCACCGAAAAGAGTATGTTGCCAATCCTGCAAGCACAAGAGCGCGTGTCAAAGGCACGTGTGATGACATACGGTTCAGGGAGCCGAACACAGAAGAAGGCGGGACGAGGACGCACACGGCAGGCTGACGCAGAGCAGGACACGCGGACAGCGGCCCCGCCTTCTCACCGCCCCAACAAGGCGCCGGTCGCCAGCACGCAGCTTTTTCACAAAACACGGCATCCTGCTCAGTCTAACCACATAATTACATGGGCTTAGGCTAATCCAGGAGGACACAGCTACACTTAGTAAAGAATGCGTTTAAACACCTAGAAAACATCTGATGGGACGGCCACCCTGTTATTACTGGGGGCCGGGGCAAGAGCGCAGGGCAGAAAGTGTGGGGACCTCCGGGCATCCTTTTTCTTGTCTAAGCCCCTGCTGCACGCGTAGCTCTGCGGGGGCTCTGGGGGGATGTAAACCTGATGCCGCGGGTATCTGTTGCACGACGCCAGCAACACAACACTGGCCGTGGTCCTCAGACCCCAGAAAGAGCACAGCACAGCTTCTCCCTTTCGAGGAAGGGAGGCGGAAATGAGGCCACGAATTATTCTGAGACTGCGCTCAGGCCTTCACATAGTTCATCGGGCTTCAAGAGAGGGAGGCCAGAGCTGACTTAGAAGACAAGGAAGAGAACAGGACACGCTTCCTGGGAGAAGAGGCCTGAGCTTGGGTCTTGAAGATCAAGGTGACAAGAGACTCAGAAGGAGGGGCCAGGTGACCTCAGGGAGCAAGCAGTCCTGCTGGATCAGCAGCCCAGGTCCCGGCAGGAACGCGGTTCAGGTAAAGCAGGAAAAACCGTCCAGGCCGTGTTACGGAAGGCCTCCAACGCCCGGCTGGGGAGCAGGTTTTGGCATCAACAGATGAGGGCAAGGTGTGGGCTGGGGAGTCATTTCTGGGGTCAGGGGAGCGCCCAGTGGAGTGCAGCCCTGGGAACGCCGCTGCAAAGCCCTGGGAAGCCATCAGGACACGGGCGACCGGCACAGCAGCAGGAGTCTCCGTGAGGGGCTGGGGGCCCAGGCAAGCAAGGCGGTGGGGGGGCGGGGGGTGACAGGGACAGCGAGGAAAGATGCTACATTTGAGGGGGAAGGGGTTTTACGTGCTCTCTTACTCGGGGACTCCATTTCCGCCTGGGAATTCACGCTGAGAACACCTGTATCTGTATCCACACCACTGGTTGGTGAAATGATAGGAAGTAATTTCACGTGCATAGTGAACCCTGAAATTCCTTTGGGGGAAAGCATGACCCTTATCGTGGAGGGACGTTGACAAGTAGGTGGCTGGGGGTACAGACTGAGACCCCAAAGACACGGAGAATCACAGAAACCTGGAAGCGGCTGCACTGGTGCTTGCTCGTGAGTCCCGCCGTGGAGCCTGACCGAGGGCCCTGTGGCCCGGGAGCAAGAGCACGCGAGGCAGAGGGTCGGGGGACTGCGTCACTGCCCCACCGCCCAGCGGCAGGGGTCACAGCCCCGAGGGCTGAGGAGGGTGGGCGGGGGCTCAAGGTAAGCCCACCCAAAATTCAAGGGAATGGAGGCTTCTGGAGGAAGCTTGTATTTTAGAAATGGTTAATAAAAATGTTCCCTGGGGTACTATTTACCGAGTGAGAAAAGGGAACCACCCCAAATGGTCCATAACGAAAAATTAGTAGGAGAAACTACAGGACCCATACAACGGAACACCATGGAATTACTGAAAATGTGTATATGAACAGGACATGGGGAAATGTTACAAAGTAACGGTGAGGCTAGTAGAGAAACACATTACAAGGCACTACACAGAATATAATCCGTTTCCAAAGAAAATAACTGAAGTGTTTTTATTTTTTAATCTTTGCTTATCTGTATATTCTAAATGTTGTACACTAAGATTACGCTACTCTTGTAATAATTAAAACCTGCATTTAAAAACAAAGAAGAAATTGGCCTTGCATGTGCCAATTTCTCACGTTTTTTGGCTTTATTAGTAAAAGCCTTCCCCCAATGAACTTCAAGAACCCAGAAGGGTGTCTCCCACCGGCCCCACCAGACGTCACACCGGGAGTCTGGAGAGCAGTGGACAGATTCAGCACAGTCGGCAGGGGCTGACCCCAGTGTGATGCCATAGATGTGACAGGAAGAAGAACTGGTGACAGCCACACTGGCTGCCTTGTCTGCGTTTCAGCAGAAAGCGGACGCCCCGCGGGTGGTCCGTCCATGCCAGCGAGCGCAGGCGCACTTCCCGACACCCGCCCGCCCGCCCCCCACGCTCGGGCACCCTACGTACTTGTCTCCCGTAATCGTGACTGTGAATCCGTCGTACTCCTTCCCTTGCTCTTTGAGGCTGGGGACTTTCGTGTTCACCGTGAACCCATCCTTCGTTTTAGTGTTAAACTGCTTTCAGGGAAAAAGAAAAGTCACGTTACTAGTGTGAGATTCACTGTACACCCCCAGCTGCCACCGTGCAGTGCTGACTCAGATTTCTGTGTCTTCAGGGAGGGTCACGAAGTCCCTGACGCAGGAGGCCCAGTGAGCAGTGACAGGACGGCGCCTCTGCCCTGCCCCAGGCCCCAACGCTGACTCTCCTCTGCCCAGTTCACACCCCGAGGGGCACCTGCCAGAGGTGCAGAGGACCTGGCACAGTGGGCTCACGGCCCCTTCTGGGGCCCCCTCTGGGGTTCTTCTCACGCTCAGTCTCCATCGGCGGCAACCCTGACTCTCAGCAGGGGCTGCACCGACGCCCTGCAACTCAAGGGAACTGGGCCGGCTCCTTCCGAGCAGAGTCTGGGTTCTCTGACGAGCGCTCGGAGTGACTTTGATGTGCCAGCTGGGAATGTCAGGCACGCTCCGGCTCTGCAGAGCGCAGACCGGCAAGCTACGGGAATCCCGCCGAGCGAAGGGCGGCCCTCGGGGTGGCAGCGCGAAGGCGGCTTCAGGCGCTCGACCTCTCCGCTGCCCTGGGTGGGTGTGACTGCGGTCTCTCGCAGGTTCCTTGGGAACAGACCCACACATAAAACACTGAAATCTCCCTAAGTGACTGTGTACTGTGCCCAACGTAGTAAACTTAAATGCCTCAAATGCCCACGGGAAGGCTGAAGGTGAAAAACTGAGAGGCGTGCCAGGGCTCTTGCTGCCTGGTGCGCCCCAGCAGCAGCCGCCCTCCTCGAGGCCCTTCTGCCCTCTGGGGGGCGTCTGGGGGACTCCCGGGCGAGTCTGGAGGGCGGGAGCCAAGGCCACTCGACACCCCTCCGTGCGGGCTCCCCACGCCCCGCGGACTTTCACATAGGCGGAGAACCTGTCTGCAACTTAATCACCTGGGCCCGCAACTCCTGTCACACGCGGACACTAAATATGTGTCACAGGTTTAAGGCACATGGAACTTTCCGGGAATGCACACAGCATGTCAATTGAGGAAAGAGCGTGTGATGTCCTGCTGGGCACCTCACTGAGCGTGGTTTACCATTTCAGAACGCCCTCTCACCAGTGACATCGTGGCTCCTGACACCCGAGTCACCAAACAACACGCAGGTACGGGGCTGCCCTTGCAGCTGACGGTCACCACTTGCAGCTGACGGTCACCACAATGCTACATACAGGTGCGGGCGACCGGCCGCCTCTCAGGAAGGCGTGCCTGAACCCCGACACACCGCAGTGCACACCCCTCTATTACTAGTTCCTCACATTTCAGAACTCCTCTACGGCTCTACGCTCACCTGAGAGAGTTTCTGAGTAAGCGGGACATACTGTGGAGTTCATCTTATTGCACCTGACCCTATTTGCTGAGTTAACACGGGGGGCTGAGAAGACGGAGGACCACTTGTCGGTCCATCAGACCCTCATGAGAACCCCCGAGGTGGGCCCTCAGAGTCGCCGCTCCTCAGCAGCCAGGAGCCTCGAACCCAGCCCGGACACAGGCTCACCCACACCCAGCGAGACAGCGTGGATCCGTACACGGCCTGAGGCTTCCTGGTTATTCCTTAGAGGTGGGTAAGCTTTGGTCATTCACAGAAATTTCTTAAATTCTATTTGCTGTAAATCAACCTTATCTATACTACAGCTTTAAGGAGAAAGCTTATCCCACCCTGCAAATTTCATGCACTTCAGCAGACGCAGCTCCAGCCTCCGCCTCCTGGGCTCCGTGAGACGCTGCTTGGGCTGCACGTACCTGCCCGGTGGCCTGGTGAATAACCCGGGCAGGGAGCTGGGGGGAGCCTGGGCTCACCGCACACAGTCCCCTTCTCTCAAGAGTCACCGCCTTGTGTCTGTCTGAGCCCTGAAAGCGGCTGCCCTGCATTTTGTCCAGTTGCACAATTGTCACAATGTGGAAGGGCAGGTCGAGTGCCAGTCACTCCATCGGGACCAGAAACAGAATTCAACTGTCTGTATCCTTACTTCCTCTGTTTCCTGCACCTGCTACTTCCTTACACATTTGCTTTTATCCTTGAGTCCAACGTCTGTGTTTTATTGTACTTTGGTTATTATTCAGTGTGATTATGTCAGTGTTTTCAGGTAGCATGTGCTTCATAAACTTTAAAACATTTATGGTGTAAGACTCACAAACATGGCGCTGAACAAGTCAAAAAAGTGCTACGGTTTTATTTTTTCCTACAGTGCACTGCGGTTTTGACAGACTTACCTTCATGATGGGAAGAAGGTCTTCCACTCTGTGCACCTTTTCCAGAGCCTCTCGAACTTCCAACAAGCCTTTAGGGTTATTAGTGCTTCAGGAGAGAGAGAGTTGGGACTACAATTAATACAGAAATGTAATCATTATGCCATTACCTCTCATTTAAATACATCATCCTCAATTATGATTAACTCAATATCCAAAATGGTGGGCTGCAACGGAAGTTTCTAAATACTGGGGTGGTTTGAGCTAATGAATTTGCGGATACGGGTGAGAACTCGGGAAACAGGCAGCAGCCCCCCGAGAAGGTGAAACAGGGAAAAGCAGAAGCAACAGGCATGCTGTCTGGTCGTGAAACCTGGTTCGCCCGTGCCAACTCTGAAACCAGACGTGCGTGTTTCTTCTTCCTAAAGCTGCTCACAGGGACGTGCCCTGCTAGACCTTCATATCAATGTTACAGTAACCTGGTGATAACCAACCACTCAGAATGCTTCTATTCTCCAGTGTTCTGTTCAATGTTACATCTACACCTTTACATCTCCCCGCCTTTCAGGTGGGGAAGAAAGAGTACGAAGGCTGAAATCCCTTATGAAATGTGCCAGAGAAACATCCTGCCTTTCAAAAGGAAGAGACTAGACAAGTCACAACATTGCACATAAGATTAAACATATCTGGTTGAGTCCGTGCATTTTGTTAAGTTATTAAAAAGAAGGTCGCTAATCACTCTAAAAGGTTTTGATTCTAAACACAATGTAAAAATTTGAAACAGTTTATTTAGTCTGTCAGTAGGCTTAGTTTTCAAGTTTCATAACCATAAGAAATATACAAAAATCAATCCATTATTATGAAAAGAATTTAAAGGATTACCCGTGATAAATAAGAATTCTATCTTTAATAAAATGAAGAATTTTCTCAAAATATTCCAGGTATCTCATGTTAATCACCTGACCCCTGTAAGAAAAAAAATTAAGAATTTTTACAAAGGCATGTATTCCAAACACCATCTAATTTCCAAGTTAACTCCAAAGAACAACAGAGAACCATGAGAATAATGTAGCAAAAAAGATGGGGAATTCACTTAATTCGCAACCAACGAATGGAAAAGCAAAGAACTGTCTCAGCCAGCCTGGTGGTCAGCTCGTGGGGTTTGTTATGGCGAGAAAGGTGCCAAACTCAGCCCCGGAGAGGCCACGATGGGGAGAGAAACCCTCACGTACTCAAATGAGGCTCAATTTCCACACCGGTTTCCTCCCGTGGATCCCTTCAGTTTTCGGCAGCACACCTTCTCGCCCTGGGCTCTCCCGGTCGCAGTATCTGCAGGTGCGCCTACCTTTTATCCAGATGGGCACTGGCAGTTTCTCCACAACCCACCTGAGATAAGGTTTTCCTCAGGTTTCTGTGCCCACCCCCTCTTTACAACTCTCTTTTGGAACTTCTTGTACAGTCAACATGCTGATGCACACAGCTGACTGATGTACGCATGTACAACACGTATACACCTGACTGAGGCACACACGTACAAGAAAATGTACACATCCTACTGACGTACACACGTACAGGATAATGCACAGCCTATTTGTGTACAACACGTAAACATCCGACTGCTCCCCAGACGCCCCCCAAACCTCGAGTTCATCGGAGTCAAGCAGGAGTCCCCTCTCCCACACTCTCCCAGCTCTACCCTCCCAGACTTGTCCGCCCGCTTTCCGCCCTGCTGCTGCCTGGCCGACCGGGATGCCCGCGAACCTGAGCCACAGAGGGGAGACCCCCTGTGGTCCCACACCGTCCTGGGTCCGACCCGCCGCCAGTGCTCCTCCTGCCCCTGCCTCAATGCCCTGTCCTCCCTCCAGCTCTCGTGCACTCGGCCCTCCAGACCTCGGCACCTGTCACTCACGCTGCCACACGACTCTCTGCCCACTTCCTGCGCCTCCCAGGTCACTGTCTCTCTAACCTATTCTGCCACCTGCAGCCTAAGTGACCACCCGACTGGGCAAATGTGCTCACGCCACCTCTCTGGTTACAGCCTCTGAGCAGCTCAGCGTCATTTTCGGGGAGAAAACACCTTCTCATGGAGCAGAAAGTTGTTTCTATGTTGGGGGAAAAGTTTTTTACATTTTGGCCTCTGTCCGTCTTTCAGGCCTTGGATGGCTGGTCCTCCCCTCGTGGCAAACCAGCCCCCCAGCCACCACGAGTCAGCTGTCCCTCCCCGCCCTCCGGGCCCAGCCCTGCCCCCCTCGCTGCCTTCCCTCCTTCCAGACACCCGGGCCTCGCCTGGGACCTAGTCCCAGCGCCCTGCTCTGGGACGTCCTGGACACGGGACCACCACAGCCTAACACAGTGCATGCAGCTGTTCACGGTCCGCGGTCTGCGTTCAGCTCTGGGCTTTCTGAAGTCGGGACCCGCTGCACTGCCTCGCCGCCGCCGCGCAGCACCGCCCTGACGGTGGACTGCTGACAATGTTAGGTCAGTTTAGTCTACAAATGCCACAGACTGGTCCGTGAGAAACAGAAATACAGAGGTCACGAGGGAAAAATTAGTTTTTAGAAATTAGAAACAAATGTCTAAATGACATTTCCATTAAACTTAAATGTCAAAGGTGTACAGAGTATTATTTCCTTGACTCAAACTTCTGGAATGACAAGCACTTTCGAGGGGACACAACTACCATATTTACTTGCAAGTTCTATCTACAGTTAAATGCAGTGGGCCCCTCTGAAGCCGCTGTCTTCACAAAGCGCTCATCGTTTACTGGGAAGGTGGCAGAGCCCACGCAGGGAGAGGCGCGGAGGCCGGCACTTCACCCGCGTCTCTAACTTGCCGAGCCTCTGGGCCCAGAACAGCCCTCCCAGGCAGGTGGCTCAGCGACCAGACGGCAACCCTCTGTGCATCTGCGGGGGGTGGGGGGGGTGGGGTGGGGGGGGTAGCCCTTTCCCCACGACGGCCATACCTCGCTACCAGGGTATTATGATAGACATGATGTCCTCCGCCTAAATGCTTTCTGTTGTGGTTCAGGACAGAAAGATGGACATCTGTTAAAGATGGGCATCCCCGACGAGAACCTGGCAGCCCACCCTGCCTCGGGTCCTGCCTCAGACACAGCGGCTGCAGCAGGCCCAGGGCAGGCGCTGCGTTTCCTTCTGCAGCCGCGCCAGCTGAGCAGATGCAAGCAGGCGCGACTCCGCGGGGGCAGAGCGAGTCTGCGCAGGGAAGCCTGGCAAGGTCGCCAGGAAAGGAGCAGTGGGCGCCTCACGGCCTCCAGACCCGTCTGCTAAGAACGAACTCCCGTGAAAGTGAGAGAGGCACAGAAGGGTGGTACCTGATTAGATTGATGTGGTTGTTGAAACCTCTGCTGAGACTTCGGGCTGGCATCTGGTCTAGCCATAGCACCGGCTGGTCTGGGTCCGCAATCCTGCGAAACAGAGCTTGTTAGAGAGGAAGGCCTTTCGCACCCTAGAGAGGTTCAAAGGCATTAAAAATAGAACATCAGCGTCTTTGCAGAAGTGTGGAGGAAGCAATCGCTCAGACCCTTACGTCTACGAACACGGAACACAAACACACGAGTTCCAAAAGGCTGCCCGACTGGGCTGAGGGAGAGGTCAGGGCCGGCTCCTGGCAGAGCCGCATTTTCTCACGCAGATGGGACCGTCAGCTACCGACCCTGCAGCCGCCGGTCGTCCAGACACACTCGTCAATGTAGACACAGGGAAGCGCACCGCAGCCCACTCAAAGGTGCCACAGTAACGAAATGCGCTTTCAGAGAGGCTTTTTCTAAAATACTTCTAAACATGTGCTTGGAAACGTGATAACCCCTATTCTGGGCATATTACTCAAGCGTGTTTCAAAGAATGGCGATGCCGGCGACTTCTGGCAAACGTCAGAGGGGAACGCACAGTGTGCTGCCTTGCTGTGCGAGGCTTACTGTCAGGCCACGGAACAGCCCGCGGGGCCCGGGGAGGGACCTGTCGTGTCACGGCCACTGCATCCGGTCCTCCCACGCCAGCCGCACGCACGTACCGCCTCCACTTGACGGCGATGTCGAACATGTCCCTCCACTGCATCAGCCGCGTCTTCCCGTTCACCCGGACCTTCGAGCTGGTCCACGTGCGCTGCACGGCCTGCATGACTTCCAGCGCCGCCAAGCCCATGGCTGCGCGCGAGAGAGAGAGACTCGGGGTGTGCAGGGCCTGTCGGCACACGGCCCGGGCCCGATCCCCACCGAGCCTGGGGGACAGCTCCCGCGCCGTCACACAGGGGCCTCGAACACCACGGGGCTCAGGGGCCCTGGCCGCCCGCGCAGGCGGGAATCCACGAGCAGCTCTGGTCCCCCCAAGTGAACTACCGACAGCCTGCTGTCAACCCAAGGCCTCACCGATTGCACGAATAATCTATTGCACGTGATTCTGTATGCAGTGTGTACTATGTCCTGTATTCTCACAGTGGAGTAAGCTTGAGAACTGTGAAGGAAGAGAAAATGCCTTCCCAGTTCTGCGCTGTATTTTTGGGGGCCATAGTTGACATCAACAGTTGATAAGACACATTGTCTGTCAGCACCTACAATAATACCGTCTTACGTGGTTTACTGCAGATGGTACATGTGTTACTAACACTAGACACCAAAAATGAAAAGCTCGTGTGTAAAAAACACTATTTGTTTGCAGGTGTAACGATTCAGGCGCTGATAAGTAAGAGTCAGCAGTGGGATTGCTTTACGACAGCCTAGTGTAACCCACGCAACTGCTGCACAGCAGACGGGAAATCTCTACAGAATTTTTTGGTACAGTTACTGGAAAACACCCACGCACGAGGGGCCCGTGTGGTTCAAACCCCTATTGTTCAAGGGTTACTACACGAAGAGCTGCAAGTACTGGTAACTTAGCAGGTCTGGTACACATCACAGTTGTAACAGCCCTGCTGAAGCTATTGGAGAAAACTAGACACGCCCCCAAAGCTGTCCCCTCCCAGCTCTGCTCCCTCCTGAAGCTCCTGGAGGCCCTCAGTCTCCCCCAAGGACAAGGTGCCAGTGGGTGACGTCCAACCCGCAGCGAAGCCTCCAGGCCGGCAGGAGGCGCTGGTGTCTACACGGGGCACATTCCCCAGCTAAGGCGGGACGAGGCCTTCTCCTGGAACTCCGATGAACACATCTGTGGATCTGCACGTTTCTGTCACGATCAGGTGCAGATTCCGCGTAGGCACAACACGTGATTTTTTTAAAAGCACAATGTGGTGGAGCAACCCTTGCTCTTTTGTCTGAAATATATTTCCACTTTCAGATAGTTGGCTGCAAAATACCTCTGTGTATCCTCTTGTTTGGCAGGAAGCCTGGCGTTTCGTACTGCATCAGCGATCCCAACCGGTCGGCCACGCAAATCAGCTCTTGGACCTCGGGCTTGTAGCTCTCAAAGTTCTGATGCAACACGTCTCTGGAGGAAACATTACAGACACGATGAGGGCTCTTACAGCAGACATCGGGCAATCAGACTTCACCTGAAGAGCAGTCTCTTCCGCCCCTGGAAAACGAATGAAGAAACCTAGGACCACGTAGTTTTTACTCCGTCCAGCGCTTTGCATGCAACCATACACAAAGCGGTGGAAGGGATCTCCCAGAGCACGTGCAGAACGAGGCTGACATGCTTGTCAGCAACACTGGCGACTAGTTGCAATTCGGACCATTGCTCGCTATGTAAACTCCTCCAGAGACATAGCCTGCGTGGAGGGCCCTCTGCAACAGCCCCCACGCGAGGTCCACCGCCCCCCTCGGGACTGCAGCAGGTACACTCGGAATGGCATATGTGACCACGACCGTGTAGCTGGCAGCCTGCTGGAAGTTTTCGTAACAAACACTGCAATTCCAAGCATAGGTTGTGCTGAGGTCCTCAAGGTCACCCTGAGGTCCAGCTGTCCACTGGGAAGACTGGCCGGACTCAGTGCCGTCATTCATTACAGCAAAGGGCACAAGCACAGACATCAAAGGAAAAAGGTGCGTGGGGCCAAGTCCGGAGGTGACAGGGCCAAGCTCCCAAGGGTCCTCTCCCGGGGGACACACGGGATGACTTCCCCGAGGGAAGGGCTGTCCACCAGGGAGCTCGCTAGACACTCAGGGCCCCGGGTGTTTACTGGGGGGCGGTCACGTGAGCCGCCCAGGTTGATCAGGAAGGAGAGGAGGTGGTCACGCAGTGCCTGTGCAGGCAGCCTGGGCCCAGGGAGCCGCTCTCCTCTGTCCTGGGCCTGGTGGACACTCCTGAAGTCCAAGTTCCCAGACACCAGCCAAGGGCCAACCTTGTAAACACAGGCCTTTCCCAGGACAGCGGCTCAGGCCTGGCAGGTTAACCCTTTCCTGCACAGAGGTATTTCCCCAAAAAGGGATGGTGGAAAACACGGATGACCTCTTTAAACTACCTATTTCCTTTTTTATTTTTGGTTATGTAATAACTGACACATACAAAAACATACCACCTCAGTACCAACCTAAGAACTGGGACAACTCTGTGGCTCTATCTACTTGTCTGCTTCTGTCTTAGCCCATCCTCCTGGCCCCCAGCAAGGGCAACTTGTTTTGAATTTTGTGTTGGTGACTCCCTTACTTTTTCCTTTTAAGAAACGGGTACATTGCGTATACCCCTCAACAACACAGTCTACAGTTCTCCTTGTGAGCTTCATGGGAAGACGAGGTGCCCCAGCAGGCTGCTGCCCTGCTGTGTTCACTCAGCGTGGCATTTGGAGACGAACCCACACTGTCGCACAGGCCACTTGTTTATGCTGCTGAACACCACCCCCTGGTGTGAGGGGCTGCGTCCACCCACTCCTCCGTTCACGGACACCTGGGACGGTTCCCAGTGTTCGGTGTGGACAAACGCTGCTCGCAACGGTCCCGCACAGGTCTCTCTGCAGACAGTGCTCTGCCCGTGCGAGGTTCTCACTGAGTGTGTGCAGCGGGGTCACTGGGCGGTAGGACACGCGAGGTCTCAGCTTCATGAGACACGGACGAACTGCCGGCCAGTGTGGCTGCAGCAGTTTAAACTCTCTGATCGCCACTTCTGGTCGCCACCACTATTATCAGGCTGTGTAGTGTTTGCTCATCTAGCTTAGGCTTATTTTTTCACTCAGTCCCTTTGTCTAAGGTCCATACAGTGTATCATTGTTTTAAAAATTCTTGTCTACCTGAAAATCATAAAAGTCTTCCCTTACATTTTCTCTAAAAGTTTAAAAAATGTTGCCACTCACACTTAAGATTTTATTCGTCTAAAACTGGATCTCTATCTACACCATCACGAAAGTCAGTTTTATGTTATCCACGTAACAACCTAACTGCACCCTTGCCACTTACAGGCAAGTCCCGCCCTCGCCCACAACAAGCCGCTGCCACTCCTCGAGGCTCCCTGACGGAGGCTTCTAAGCCCCCTGCTGCGCTCCGCTGGCCCACCCGCCCGTCCGGCCCCAGCACCGAGGTCTCCGCTCCCGTCTCGCATCTGCTCTCTGGCAGGACGGGAGCCTTCCCCTCTGAGGCCGGGTTCGGGCACCGTCTTCCTTAGGAGTCATCTTCTGGATGACTCTCGGTTCTTTGTTTTTCCACACAATTTCCAGGATTAGCCCATCAAGTTTCTCAGAAAAACTCTGTTTCAAGTTTTGAATGGCATTTTATTGCATTTATAATTAATTGGCAGAGAAATGACTTACTGATCTCATTGAACTTCCTATTCATGAACAGTGTTTCTCTCCCTGTATTTCTTAGTAACTTTCAATCAAGTTTTATAATGAACTCCACAGAGATTGTTTATCTTTTCTAAGATATATTCTTAAGTACTTATTGCTATTATAAATGGTATTTTTGTTTCTTGCTGGTATATAGAAATGCAAATGATTCTTGTACATTGATTATAATCGACCACCTTGCTAAATAAACTCTTAGCAGTTCTTACAATTTGTAAGTTTTCTGGGTTTTAAAAAAATATTTATTTATTTTCGGGGGGGGGAGAGGGAAGAGATACACCGATGTGAGGGAGAAGCACCAATGGGCTGCCTCTCACACACACCCCGACTGGAGCGATGTGACTTTCTATTTTTAAGATTTCCCTCCTTATCTTAGGTTTTCTCCAGTTTCTTTTCATTTACCCTTTTTAAAAAATCTGTGGATTTATATGTTTCCCCAGTTCTGGGAAATTCTTAGTCATCATGTTTTTTAAGTTGCCTCTCTCCCGTTCTCTCCTGAGGTTTCAACAACATGTGCTAGCCCTACTCACGCCGTCCGCCTCTTCTGCCTCTTCCCTGGTTTCCGTCCCCTTGGCTCTCAGTGCCGCACACACTCCGGACGCTTCCAGTGCTCTCCCCTCCAGCTCTGTCCTTTTCTCTCTGCACTGCACTCTGGACATGCCCAGTGCTCTCCCCTCCAACTCTGCCCTCTTCTCTCAGCTATGGCTAACCTGCTGTCTGGTCTACATAATGAGTTCTTCTTATACTTTCTGTTACCAAAGCTCCCAATTATTTTTTTAATTTGCCCGGTCATCTTTTATAATCTCCTTGTTCATGTTTCTCATTTCTTCATAATTTCTTTAAGTACTTAATTGGGAGTTCTTTTAGAGGCTGCATTCCATAATTCCAAGAGCCAAAGTCCTCGAGGGTCAGTCTGCTGTGTGCGGTCTCTGCTGATTCTCACATTAACAGTCTTACTCTGTGGGCAAACCTGGGGCCCACGTTCACACCGATCCTTCCTCGGACGAATCTGCATTTGCTTCTGTTGGACCCTGGGTGGGCCTCCAGCACGGCACCATTTTAGCCCTTTCAAGTTGAGCAGCCCCTGCCTGTGCCTCTGGGCCGTCAGGTGCACTTACTGCCCCCTCCCAGGACACCGTCTTCCTGTTAAATGTGCTTACCGTGCACCACCTGAGTCTGAATACCTCCTTCTTTCTTTTTGGAGAGTGAGAGGGTTCCTCTGGAAGGAGTCAGATCAGCCTCTTAATTTTTAAGGTACTGCAGACTCCCAGGGACCAATATCTGTCCTAGATCTGTTTTGTGATGGGACAGCCCTTCAGCGTCTCTGCTTTGCCGTACGCAGCAGCCGCAGCTGGCCAGCAGGGTAATTTCCAGTGCGTGCGGTAGTCCGTTCTAAAAGTAACACGGCCCAGAACAACGCACGTCACAGACTGCCAGCACGTACCAGCGCACCTGCAGTTTGACGTTGCCCCAAGTGAGCAGGGAAGAAGGGGCTGGAAGGAAGGATGCTATCCAGAGGTGAGTTTTGTGGTACTTTATAAACTAAAAGAAGAAGTATTTGCAGACATGTCGGATCAAAGCATAAACTGATCAGAGAGACATGAACAGAAGGCCACTTGTGGATGGAAGGACAGCGTGACGGGCCCGCGGGGCTGCGGTGCGGGGAAGGGAGCGGGACCCGGGACGCACTCACCTGATGTGGGGCTGCAGCCCCGGCTGCTCCTCGTAGTCCTCGATGAGGAAGGGCAGGCTCTTGGCCCAGTGGTCCTTGAAGCTGCCCGGCAGGTCCGCGTCGACGTTGTACTCCGTGAGGGGGGTGTCCAGGTGTGCGTGCAGGTACCGAGAATACTCTGCGCACAGGAAAGCAGATCTGACACACCCAAACACTGCTGAAGGAGCGCTCTTGGCGGCCCGCTGCCGTGCAAACACTTTCTCAGAGACTGCTATGTAGCTACGAGAACTCTAAATGGAGAGTCCAGGTATTATTAAGCCACAATTCTTATAGGACAAGCGGAGTGACCCGCCACTGACTGAGTCCCCAGGGTGCCACGCCAGCCACTCGGGGAACCTTTCCATGAAACGCACCAAAGGTCTCACTTTTCGATTCCAGAGTCACGCCAGGAAACAGAGGGGACTGCGACTCAGAGACCAGAGCTATGCTGCCCAGTGGGCAGCCTCCGGCCGCCGAGCTGCTGAGTCCTGAAAGTGTGGTTAGTGTGACTGAGACACCAGGCTTCAGTGTTTTATTTAATTTGGCTAATTTAAAGTTAAAAACACACTTAATTCAATGATTAGAAAACTTCAGTATGTTTGGAACAACTTGCATGTACAAATCTACTTTCTCAACTTTACGTTTTAGGAAATCTAAGTTTACATCAAATGTTTCCAATGAAAATTGAGTGTCCAAATTGAGATGCGTTATACATGGAAACTATGCAGCAGATTTTGAAGACTTAGTGCAAAACAGGTAAAATATTGAAGGGCTAGTGTTTTCACTAATATTGTAGATATACTGAATTAAATAAAATGTATCATTAAAATCCGTTTTGCCTCTTTGTTTCCACTTTTTTTTCTCTTACAGAGAGAGAGAGAGAGAGAGAGAGAGAGAGAGAAACATCAATGTGCGGTTGCTGGGGGCCGTGGCCTGCAACCCAGGCATGTGCCCTGACTGGGAATCGAACCTGCGATGCTTTGGTTCGAAGCCCGTGCTCAACCCACTGAGCTATGCCAGCCAGGGCTGTTTCCACTTTTTTAATGTGGCCACTAGGAATCTGCAATTACATGTGTAGTCTTCAGTGTTTCTCAGGGGCCAGCACTGGTGGGGAAGGCTGGTGGTAATGCAAGAAGAAAAGAAATGGCAGCAGAGACCTGGGGTTCCCATGGAAAACAGAACGACCTTTGAGCATGGCAGTGAGAAGGTGAGTGAGACCATGACCGACAGACAGAATGATAACTCAAAGATCTGCTTTCCTCCTCATCCCCATTAAACTCCTCCAGACTCCGTGAGCATTCCAATGTGAACGCATTCTGATCAAAGACAGACCTTTACACTGAACAGTAAAACCTCACGGAAGGTCCCTTTCCTGTCACCCCTGCATCTTTGGAGAAGGCACAATGAGACGGGAACATGCAGATGATCGTCACGGTGAGTTCAAATTATGCTTTCCTGACTTAAGTAAAATGCTTTTGACTTTAGACAGGAAATGCGTAGGGGGTGGCAGAAACAGCTCTGGACTGGTCTCCAGAAGGCATGGCCTCCATCCAGCCCAGCTCGCACTACCACCTGCGGGCGGGCGGCCATGGGCAGACAACCTCGCGCCTCTGGCGACACTCAGTGCCTCCTGGGACGTGAGAGACACGCGGTACGATTTCCGCAGCTTTGGCATTGACCGTCGATGACTCTGCCATGTGCTGACTTACCTCGGAGATACTTCACTTTGAGGTACTCCGGGCTGGCCTTCTGGCCCGGCAGAGGGTCGTTCAGCATGACTTTGGTCTGCGCCTTTATCCCCTCGTAGAACTGCCCCATGGCGACGTGGCTGAGCCCCTTCATGTACTGGCACACCTCGTTGTACGGCTCCAGCTGCAGACACCGCTGCGGGGGGGAGGGTGGGGAGACGCCCTGTTTGCATCAGTGCAGCTTAGGGAAACGTTCGAGGGCTTTACGCTTTAATCTGGACTCGGAGGAGTGTTTCCCCCGGGCTGAGTCAGACCAAGCACCTGCTCGTAAGTTAGTCTACGGGGCAAGGCGGTGGAGGCTCCTTCTTCCTTTTCGCTGAGGTGTCAACAAACACTGTTCTCGCCACCCCGCCCGTCCTTCGCAGCCTCACCAAGCGGGGCTCACCTTGAAGTTCTTCAGGGCCTCCTGCAGGCTGCCGTGGTGGTACAGCATCATGCCCCGGAGCTGCAGGGTCTGCACGTGGTTCTGGTTGAGCAGCAGGGCCTTCTGAAAGCTCTCGGTGGCCGCTTCAAAGTTGCCCAGTTCTCTAGGGATGGCGCGGCGGTTAGGGACGCGGTGCAGACTGCGTTCAGCACACGCCGCTCACAGTCGGGTCTGCGAATCCGACACCCCAGCGGCGGGGGCGCTCCCACCCCAGTCTCACCGCTGCACAGCTACACAGCCTTTCTGTCACACCTCCATCTCCTCTACCTCTCCTACGTCTTACCAGACTGTAGAACAACCACAGAGCTCTTGAAACTCTCCGGGGAAAGTTGCTGTAGAGCTTATGCAAATCCCTTTCCCTAACTCACAATGAGCTCCCACCCTTACGAAACTGTGTATACATTTTAGTGCTCAGGTAGAAACACAGGTTTCTCCTTCAAACACAAAAACAGGTGTGTAGGTTATAGTCATACAGAGGTTTAGCAATCTGAATCAAATTCATAGGTTTAAAAATTGTGTATTTTTCTGTCACTAAAGTTACTTTACTTAAAGTCTAGTATATTACTATGTAATCTACAATTCTGAAAAAAGAAGTCTAGTTTAGCATTGTGATCATTCCAGAGTGGAGATGTTTATTACTGACAAACCTTCTATATATTAAAATGTTTATAAATAATATTTTCAAAATATCCCATGTGTCAATTTTCTATAAATAGTGAATATGTTAAGAATGTAACAGCTTACATTCTTTTTTTCACAGCACTTTACTATTTTTAAGGTACTTTCGATCTATTTTCAATCCATGTTCCCAAGAACTCCATGGGACAGAAGAACAAGAATCATTCCTTCAACCCAAACAAATCACTTTCTTCAACTCAGGATGAGACCGTTTCTCCGACTACCGCAGCAGATAAATCAGCTCTTGAATTTAATCTTTCCTGAACAAGGGACCTAGCACAGTGTTGAAGGGGCTTTCTGTAACTGCCCTCCTTTTCTACCTTTCATAGTACGTCTAAAAAAGTCAGAGTGGGCCCTGGCTGGCATAGCTCAGTGGATTGAGCTCGGGCTTCGAACCAAAGTGTTGCAGGTTCGATTCCCAGTCAGGGCACATGCCTGGGTTGCAGACCATGACCCCCAGCAACCGCACATTGATGTTTCTCTCCCTTTCTCTATCTCCCTCCCTTCCCTCTCTATAAATAAATAAATAAATACAAATCTTTAAAAACAAAAAGTCAGAGTGTACATCTTCTCAAAGCTGCAGTGGAATCGCTCCACCTCCCAGGGCCTCGCGTGGAGCCAGGAAGCCGGGGTCCTGACGCAGCCCCTCGTCCCTGACAGAGATGCGTCAGGGTTGTGGCCTCCCCTCCCGCTGTCCCGGCAGCCCTCGGACACGTCACAGGGATGTGGGTATCGGCCTCCGTTGTGGCCGGAGAAGCGGCAGCACCCGTGACTCACCCGTGACTCGACAGCTCACAGTGCCACCGTTCACAACAAGAACCCTGGGGAGACCTGCACTCTCTAGACCAATGTACGTACAAACTGGAGTTGTCTTAAGAGATTAACGGATGGGTCATGATATCCTCTGATACATGGGTGTTCCTGTAGTCCAGAGACAATCTCAACCAGCACATAAATGCCTGTGCAGCTTAGAACGACCGTCTCTTTGGGTTAGGAAACGCAACTCCGCTTTGATGTCACCGTGGGGCGAGGCTCTCCTGCCTCCGCTCTGCGCCCTCCCTCCGCCCCGAGTGTAACGGCCGCACTTACCTGTAGGCCTGCCCCAGACTTTTGTACGCGTCGATGAAATCGACCTTCTGCTTCAAAGCGTCTTTGAAGGATTCGATAGCTTCCTGTAAAAGTATATAGGAAATTACTTCGTTTGCCTGACTGCTAAAGTTGAGTTTCACTTAAGTCACTACGGGACTTACACATTAGACATGGCCTCTCAGTGATTTTGCTCAGATAGGAGGGCTTTAAAAAGGGAGAGGTAGAAAGCAGAGTAAACTGTGAATCTGGGGGGTTTAATTTCAGCAGTAAACAAACGATCCACTATGAACAACAGCAGAGCCTGAAGTCCCTCTCTTTCGAAACGGGGAAACAACTCCTCTCTCTTTGCCATCAGCATTTTCAGTCCAGCAACATCACCTTCTTATCGAGATCGTTTCCTTAAGCAATCAAAGCCCCGTGGAACGAACAGAAGCTTACGAACTGTGTGAAAGACTCACAACAGCAGCAGTAAGACTGAGCCAACAAAAGAGGGAGGAAAAGCAAGCGCAGGGTGCAGCTGTTTATAAAACGAGCAAAAAGGCTCCCAGACTGGCTATCTGAGAGAGTCATAGGATCTGAAAGGGAAAGAAACAGCAAAGCAAAATAAAACAGAAACCTTCAGGCTGGGGCGTGTGAGGCCTGGCCCCTGCCAGCGCCGCTGTGGCAAAGGCCGCAGAGGCCCCGCGGGCACCGCGCCATGGGGAGGGGCCCTAAGAGACACAGCGCACGGGGCTGCTGTGGGACGCTTGCTATGAAAACCATCAATAAAATGGTGCCATTCTGGTCCAGAACCGATGTCCTAGGCTTAAACCAGCATCAAATGTGTCTTCCATGATGACTTGATTATTTACTGCAACAAAAAATGATGAAGACAGCTCACGCATGTCCCCAGGAAAAGAAGTATCTCACTTATGTTGATGGCTACAAAGTTTCACAGTCTCGAATGCCCTCACTGAGAAAGGCTTTACAACTAGCTCCTGTGAAACTCACTTCACACCTGATCAGGCAGTTCAGAGCAGAGAACCACTAAAGATGTCACGCGCCTTGCACATGGTAGGCACTCAGTAAATATTTAACGATTTGCTAGGCACACAGAATCATCGTGCAAAAGCAGTGCAATCCTCATTCTTTTCAGAAAGTCGTTCGTTCCCTGCGTCCTGACTTTCTCCGGGGTGGGGAGGGGCGGCCGGGCAGGAGAGGCCGGCTTTTTCAAACTCTCCAAAGGCAACGCTGGGACAACCACCTGCTCTTTCAGGAATCCAACCGAACACTGCTTGGCAGAGAGAGGAGGACAGATACATTTTAATAGTTGAGAAATGTTAAAGACCACTGTTAATCAGGCTTCCTGTTCTGGCATCTTGATTTCACGTTTTTTTTCAACTGTGTTTTTAGTTCCGCAAACACGTATTGAGCGCCAACTATGTGCCGGGGTGGCGTGAGGCACAGGGGAGACCAAGAGGAGGGGGCGCTACCGCTGTCCTCTGGGAGTCACAGTGGGGCTGGAAAGCTGACACGGAACCAGGTGACTAGGATATGAGCCAAGAACTACGAGAGAGGCACCAGTGAGAAAGGCTCTGCGAGCAGAGACAGAAACGATGCACTGAGCCTGGAAACACAGAGCCGGCTTTGTGGAGGAAGGGACGGCTGAGCTGGGTCTCGCGGAAGGAGAAAGAACTCGGTAAAGAAAGAAGCCCCGGGGGCGGGGCAGACACAGGGTGCTCCGCAGGCCGTGGGTGGGGCAGGAGTGCAGGGTGCACAGGGGGGGAGTGGTGGGGACAGAGGAGACGGGACCAGACCAGTGTGGTCAGCTGGGGCCAGGGAGGGAAGGGCCTCCACCACGCTCTGCGGTCTGGCCAGTCCCCGCCAACGAGGCCGGGGCAGGAAGGGATGCAGGCAGGCGTTCAGCCGCAGGAAACGGACTCTAGAGAGGACCACCACCCTGCGGCAACCGACGAGACAGACCGGAGGGGGGAGAATGGAGCCCCAGGAGGAGGCAGCTTTGGTGTCCGGGCAAGAGATAACAAAAGCTCGAAGGGTGGGGGAGAGCGTCTCGGGAGAGAAAAGAAGGGTCCGATTCCCGAGACATCTGCGAAGGCAAACTGAGAGAGAACTGGGTGGCTGTGGCGGAGTGGGGGAGAAGGGGGAGGGAGGGTAGGGAGCCCGGGTGGGGTGGAGGGTGTTAAGGCTGAGAGGAGGGATGGAGGGAGGAGACGGCAGGGAGGGAGGGGCGGGGTCGTGAGTGCAGCTGGGGCGCGTTAGGTCTGCGTGTGTGTGGACGTCTAGTGGAGATGCCCGGGACATCGGCTGCCCACTGCACTTACAGCATGCTCGGACGCCACAGTTCTTCAAAGTCTGATTTCTCTTCAGCTTTTAAGAGGCTTTGGTTTCGGGGATCCTGTCTAATCACTGCACAGCTCTCTACCTCATTCTGCCAAAGAGGGGACATAGCAGAATCAAGATTTTCAGCCATTGGGAACAAAGCAACTTCGTTCGAATGAATCAATCTCTTAAGCACACGGACTGGCTCTGAACTCGCCTGTGTGGCGATCGCAACCACCGCCGCTGCGCGGGCTGTCCTCCTCGCTAGGGGCGGGCGGCCGTCACCCCGAGGCTGTTCTCTGTCACTGAGAGAACCATCTCGGGCCACTCTCGGAGTAAAGGCTGATGATGCAAACATGTGCCAGAACATACACTTTTTGAAATACCCTTGGAACACAGATAAAACAGGGGAAATTCAACAGAAAAGTGTTTGCTGTTTTTTCCCTAGGAAAACCCAAAATGCCTGATGCATCTACTGAATTGGATAGCTGTGAAGTCTGTCATGTAATATTGCCTCACCTGTTTCTAATGCATATTGTATGATAAGGTACATATGGAATCACCCACTGAATTAAGTTCTAGATGGCTGCTGACCTGGAGAGAGCCCGTCAGGAGACAAAGGGAGCGCCAACTCACTGGCCCATTCGGCACGTCGTCCCTACAGGTACCGGGAGAAATGGGGGCATCTACGCTAAGTTAGTTAATGTAAGGAAGGCGTTTCACCACTGGCTCAGTGTGTTCCAATCTGTGCGATTGGGGCGCCCTCCACTCCTTCTCTACGTCATGGGCATGCTGTTGGGGTGCATGAGACAATACGGACGGCAGATCTATAAAAATGCAAAGAAAAAGTTCCCGTCTATTACACATGCTGACACTGTATTTGCGAGTGCGGTGGTGACAAGGCGGAGAAGGCCTGGAGGGCTCTGGTGAGGCTGGTCTACCAGGGGCTTCCGCCACTCGGCGAAGGCAGTTTCTAGGCTCTCGTCACGGAGATGTAGAATAAGGCAAACTGAGCTCCAGCCCTCGTCCAGTCTGTGAATCAGTGTCTCTGTTACAGCCCGTTTCTGGAAAACGTCTCATTTCAAGATCCCACACAGGGCCCCCTGCCCACCTGGCTTTCGAGCGAAAAGTGAAATCCTTGGTTTGCATTTATTTGCTTTAAAAAAATAACTTTCACTTCTTACACTAGTCATTGGTATCTTCTTATACTCAAATCTTTTTCTCCTCCACGAGCTCTTTGAGGGATAGGCTTTGACTATAGTATTGTAATTCTGGATTTTTTATTTACAGTGACTGAGAGAGGAGGAGGAGAAGAAGAGAGGGCAGGTACAAAAGAACGGGGAACGTCCGCCCGGCAGCCACTGAAAGCGCAGGTTAAATAGCTGCTCTCGAGGCTGCAGCTGCTGGCCTGGCTCCTGAGGGGCGCGGGGGGCCCTTGCTGAGACTCCCCTCCACGTACCTGCAGAAGGGGTCTGGGGTGCAGGAAACAGAATTGGCAAGATTCTTTTTGGTTTGGTTTTTAGTGGATAGGACTTGTTACTTTTTTTTAGTCTATGAAACATGGATCAAATTAAATTTTCACTTGTAAAATAATCCACTATAATTAACACCTGATTCATGTTTACAGCTTATAAAGTGCTTCCCACACATTATTTTATTTAATTCTCACAGTCACTTCAAGGGGCAGAGACTAGAATCATCTCTACTTGACAGGGGTGGGAGGAGAGGCTGGAGGAGTGTAAGTGTCTTGTCCTGTGGTGCAGCTGAAAAAGATTCAGAGCAAGGCCTTGCAACTCCAACTTCAATGCTCTGCCCCTGAACTTCAGGTATTCCACTAATACTTATTGAGCACCTACTATGTGACAGGCACTGTCTGCACCACTGAGGGTTTACAGCACACGGCCTTCTTAAAGGCAAACCCTCTCCCCACCCTGCAAGTGTGTGTGTGTGTGTGTGTGTGTGTGTGTGTGATCCTGAGGACTCTGTCCAATAACAGAATCATGTTCTTTTGCCTGCGTGCCCTGCCCGGCCACAGGCTACTAAAATTGTTCACAGCTTTCACCCTTCTTTGGGAAGTCTCCCTGACCTCCTGGTCAGAATGAAGTGTTTTTCACCTGTTCAGCCTGCCTGTGTTCAATCGGGCAGATGTGCTGTGCCCTGTGCCAGAGCGCCTACTGTGTGCCAGGCCCTGGGAGCTCTACTCTCAGCTCCCAGCCGTGTCTCTGGCCTGCTCGCTCCTGGTGTGGAGCCTGCTGCACACGGGTTCCCAGCTCGAGCTCTGAGAGCGTGGGCTCAAGGGCAGGGAGAAGGGATGGGCTGGAGGTGGCCTTCCTACCCGACAGTTCCAGTCGGCTGGGCCAGCACCTTGGCAGTTTCCCTCAATGGTACCTCCCGGGAGCAGTCCTCAAGGGACGGTGGTGGGGCCTGTGAATTGCAGAGGTGCCCCCCGCCTGCTCCTGGAGGAGCCAGTTACATCTCAGCCCCTTCGACCCGGAACGCCGACAATATCTCCCTGGGAGTCCCTCTGCCCCTACCCTGCTCGGCCACGACCGTTTCAGCATCCATTTCCTAGCTGTCAGATTTGGTTTCAACAGAACATTTCTCCCAGATCCAGTTGCACAGCTCCTCTGAGCCTATAGGCTAAAGCCAAAGTGTTTAGCATAGTGCTTCCACGCTTCCGGTCCTCCCCCACTCCAACTGTTCTGCCCCATCCCCCTCGCACAGGCCGACTGCTGGCCGCTGCACAGACTGACTGTGTCCCCACGCTCCCCTGTCCCCTCAGCTGTCCTCTCTGCCGGAAGAGCCCGTCTTCCTCCACCTGCTCCCACTCTGCCTTCAAAGTCCAGGACAAGGTCCACTTGTTCTCAGGAACTTCCTCTACCTCGAACTCTGTCGTTCAAATGAATCGTTCTTATCTCTGTGTCCAGAGCGCTCTGTTTGTATTCCTTTCTTGGGTGTATTTGCCATACGATAAAGTACGTGTGGAAACTCTGGGAGCTGTCTCCTTTACGAGAGTAAGGCATTCTCTCTCCCTCTTGCTAACCTTTGTCGCTCTTTCTCCTTCTGTATCCTCCTCCGACTACCTACCAGATAGTAGGAGCTCCATAAATACATTTGCACAAGCTACCTCCTGAAATAAACTGGCCAGATACTTGTTGGCACATCCTTGGAAAACACGCCGCGCCACACTCTGCTAACTTCTGCCTGCCCGCAGGATCGAGGCAGACTCATCGGACTGTGCACGCGGCGCACACACGTTCACCTTCAGGAGTCCGCGGTGGAAGAAGGTCAGCCCTTTGTAGAGCATGGCGACGGGCTGGTTCCGGTTCAGCTCCAGGGACTGCTGGAAGTCCTCGTGGGCCGTGGCGTAGTCCTGCAGGGGGCGGGGACAAGTGAGGCTGCGCTTGCTAGGTGTTTAGACTTTTCCCGCTTTTCACTGGTAGAGGAGAAACGTCCCAGTTTATCCTGTGCCCTTTTTAAACGTTTTAAGGAAAATATTTCATGGCCACAAATACTATAAGCTGAATTTTTACACTGTTTGTTGAAATGATTGATCTTCTTAGGGAACTCATAGGAGACACTCACAAAAGTTTGACTTAAGCATACTGTTTCAACTATAAAAAAGAATATTATTTTAAATAGTATTAAAGTCATAACCTGTTAGAGAAACTTGAAAAGTTATTTCCTGATACTAACATTTTTTATATTGAATACTTGTGAAATAATTACGCTATAAATCAACCTTTAAGTGTGTTTTGCTGAGATGTTTAAAATAGATTTTCTTTGGCATTAGAAAAGTAGTATAACAATTACGTAAACCCAAAAAGGTAAGTGTGGTGACTGCAAACGCACCTGTGACGAGAACGGATAACCCCGCCACGTCCACGTCGCCTGCACAGAGCAGATGCCGCATGAGAAGCCGCATTAGCTCAGCTCGGGTTCTCGGGTAGCATTACCCGAAGGGATGCAATCATACCTATAAATCTAATGCTCACGCTGATGACAGGCGTACCTGCTTCCTTACGCTGGCATTTGCAAGAAAGGCTGAAGTATGTCTATGAACAAAATTTCTCTTCTGTTTTTCTCTCTTTCTTTCCCCCCTAGTCCAGAGTGAGTTACTGCTGACGGTTCAACAAGAAAACATGTTCTCGGTACTTAGTGTTTCTCTGTGGGTTCAGCCCCAGCTAAAGAAGGGGGTCTTGTAACCGTCTTATGTCACCGACATATGGCTGTACAGCCCACAGCCGAAGCCCGCAGCAGCTGTCTGAAGCAGAAGGGGAATGAAACCCTTATCGTCACAAAGGGGAGCGTCCCCAGGCACGCGCCCCTCACCTCGGATATGAAGTGCAGGGTCCCCCGATGTCGGTACAAGCGTGCCGAGGGCTGCAGCTGGATGGCCTTGGTGAGATCGCTCACGGCCTCGTTAATTCGTCCCAGAGGGGACAGGATCTACAAACCCAGATGTGTGGTCAGGAAAAGAGACTTCCAACAACCATCCCGCACGCTGCCCGTGTTCTAGACTTCTCGGTGACGCGGGGCACACTCCACTCTCAGCATCACTCCCTCCACGGACTAGAATCCCCGACCCCAGGTGCAATGCAGGGAGGTTCGAGGCCAACAAGCGGAGAAGCCACCCCTCTGTCCCGTCCAGGGGGAGGCTGAGGAGCTCCGCAGCAACTGCCTTGTCCCTCCCTGTTCCACATTCTGGGTTATCACTGATGCTGCTTTTCCTGAAATGGGACCACTTTTTCCTCAACCTATCATTTCTCTTTCAGATCAAAATTCGGCAGATCAAACTCAATCTGAGAGAAAACTTGGAACCACCAAGAAACAGACAGTGCTGGCCACAGAGAGAGGCCTCCACGGCCCTTAGCGATGCCCCCTGAGGCGCTGGGCGCTCCATGCCAACTTCTAAGAGTCCGGGTGTTTTCTAAGCCCTGCCGTGTTCATTCTTAACGCATCAGTCACGGTGTGCAAGGCCAGGGGTGGGGAATGCCCGCCAGGCTGCCTGGGAAGCCGCTGCGGTCCAGCAACCAGCTGGGTTCCGGCACCAGGACCACACGGACGGCAGTTCGGAAGGGGGAAGCACCCCGAAAAGATGCACGAAAACCCAGCGTGGGGAGTCCGTGCGCATGCATCAAGCTCGAGCACTTGCTCCTGAACAAAGTTCCTAAATTAGGGTTGCTTTTCTTCTCACAGGTCATTTCAATTACGTTGTACTAACTAGTGTCCTATACTGCAGGAACCTCAAACCAGCAAAAGTGGGAGGATCCAGGCAGGCACGTCACTAGGGGGAGAAGGACCCCTCGCTCCCGAAGAGGAAGGAAAGGAAATGTGTGCCTGAGAGGGCCAGGAGCACAGCGGCCCAGGTTACAGTCTGGAAGGGAAAACACCCTTGCCCAGTGTACTAACCCCAGGGAACCTCAGGGAACCACCACAGGCCGGCACAGCCATCAACAGGCAGAACAGTCGCCTGAGTAAGTGAAACTGTCTAGTTACGTTCACTGAATGCAGACTGTTTCAGAGAGTAGAAGATTTCTCACATAGTAGTTTCTGGTATCGATAAATGATGTGCTGTAATGTAGCTGGAAAGATCACTATGCAGTGACGTTAGTGCCTGATAATGTTTGGAAAAGGGGCTAGGACTATGTATTTTTAAGATGATTGAAAATTACTTTTCTAATTACCAATATCATTTTTTGATATGCAATTAGCTTTTTATTAGACATATAAAAATTTTAAATCTGCTAATTAAGTCCTGTTTCTAAGGAAGCGTAGAAACTAAATTCCTGCTGTGTTCACAATGTTTTAACGTAAGGTCAGTCAGGGAGGGAGATGCCAGCACCCCGCCCTGGGGCAGAGGTCACAGGGTCATCGCCAAACCCTGACCCTGAACGCCAGCCAGGCTCCGGGCAGCAGGGAACCTCGGGGTTACCATCCAATACAGACCAGAGATAATGAATCATAGTATCATTAATTGATGAAGAATGTTATTCAGAAAGCCAAATCCCCAATACAACGTAAAATTCTTTTTAAGAAACTGAACTATTATTTATGACACTATAATTTTAAGAACAAAACATCACAAACAGCTGTAAATTACGAGAGCAAATAGTGTTTCCTTGTTAAGTTTTCTCTCCCCTAAGAGGAAGAAGTAATTTTTTTCCTTTAGTCCGACTACAAAACGCCATCTGGTCGGATGACTGAAAAGTTAGGTTCCATTCAATGAGCTTGAACACATTACCATACGCTCAGAAGCACTAGGTCTGGCTGCATGTGCAAACAAGCAAATACAGCACGAAACCCGGCCAGTTCAGAATGCCCTCTCCCCCTGGATCCCCTGGATTCCCAGGACCCCCAGGACCCCCAGGACGTGGGCTCTGATGGGTCTCAAACCACCTCCTCAGTGACACCCCCGCCCCTTGCCAGCCTCACTGGAAAATCTGGCGGGCCGCAGGCCACGCCCTTCTGTTCCCGAAGCACCTCCTCTTGGCATCACCTCTCACAGGGGCTGCCTGCCTGGAGTTTCCACCACGTTCCCTCTCTGTCTCCACCCCAAGTTCCCCTTCAGAGTCTGGTCAGAGTCAGCCTCCCTGGGCACATGTCTAGCCCGTAAGCATTACAAATAAGCACTCGCCTTCACACTCACACACACACACACACACACGCACACACACACTTCTAAAGGCTGTTTCATTTCTACCATGCTGTCACATTAAGTTTTGCTAAAGTATGTCATGTACCCAATACATATCCAGTGTAATATATACTTCTCAATGAACACCGACAGTTGCACATAAGGGCATACATACTTTAATACTAAATATTACTATTACATGTTAAAGCTGGAGTGTCGCTCAGCCCATAGTTTTCTATCATTTCGACCATGTTCAAAGACATTAAGTATGTAGGAGGAAAACACAACAGATGTAAGGGAACTTTAAAATATAAAAGTAAGAAAATAATAGAAAAAAAAAGTCCGAGATTCAACTAATCCAGTAAGGACAGAGGGAAGAAGAAATCCACACTCACTTCTGCTCGCTGCTCAAATACCTCTGGGCGGTCTGGTTCCAAGGAAATTACTCGGCTCAGTTCGAACAGAGCAAGCTCAGCATTCTTAATGTCCTTGAAAAGGCATTAGCTTAGTATGAGATACACTGTTACTCAACACCAGGGGGAACAGATCTTCTGAAATAATACTTTCATAACAATGTAACTACTTATTTACAAGTAAGTATCAATTATCTTCTTAGAACCTATCTGCCAAGTTAAGAAAGTTACATTACCATTATTTAACTCCCTCACTCTACCTGCTCGTCAACAGTACCCTGGGCCTGACCGCCGACCACAGTCTCACAGGTGGTAGAACAGTTTCCACATTGAACCCATTTAAACACTGACTCAGAGAATTTCAAGGGATGAGAACGTGGATGCCAGGCAAAATGAGACCTCTGACCAGCAGCGAGGCAGGGACAGGAGGGACCCAGCCAGCATCCATCGAACCCCTAAGGCTAAGAACTTTTCAAGAAAAGTTCTCTAAAATGTGCATGTTACTTTTACAATGAAAATGCATGAGCACATTACTTTTATATTAAAAGTGTGTTGAAGGTATGAGCAAACTCCATGTCAAGATATAACATTAAGAGATGAGAATTAGGGAGAAGCAGCTTATCTGGCCTCCACTAGAGAAACTGTAGTTTCTCTAGTCATTTACTGGAGAAATGACTAGACATTTCTAGTCATTTACTGATGCTCTGAATGTAACAGTGTTACCCTCCCAAACACCTATCATTCCAAAATCTGCCTTCATTCTCAGTCCTCTGTATCTCAGAAGTATGCAAATATCATATACAATGTATCCAATAAGCTGGCACCCAATTTGTACAATTTGTTTAACTGGCAAAGATACAAAAGTGACATTTCTCCCTGAAAGCATAATTTCATTTCAATATGTTTCATATACGGTAAGACAAAAGTTTACATATACTGCTCTACACTGAAAATGTAGATCTGAATCTTAGACTATTTCATTATTTAATATAATAATCTCAGGAAAGGCTTCATTTTTACACCATGATGCTTATGTTAAGCAAAATATATTTATCCTGAGCTCCTTCCTCCATTCCTCAGAGGCATGAGAAGGGTCAGGGTATACAGAGAGACGCCTGTCTAGGGAAGTATAATATGTGATAACAAACAAATTTTACAGCAAAACTTTTGTTCTTTCAGTCTAACTTTAAAAACGGTGAAAGGAACTCCAATTCCGTGCCCTGCTGCCCTCCTGATGCCCCATCTCTGCTGTTCCCAATGAGCATTTCTTAGGAATTCGGCTAAGATCTCATGCTTTTCTGGGTCTATGTCCAGTTCATCACAAAACAAAGTTTAGGCTGGCAAAGACCACCTAAACTTTTTCTACCCCGTTTCTTTTGGGGTAGAAAATAAGGCGAAATGGACTTCAGAAGTCCTGGGTAGAAACTCCCAGATCACCGCTTCCCAGCCGTTTGCTCGCAAGTGAATCCTCCACGGCCGCGCTCTCATTTGGGACCTGGGGCAGCAACTGCGTGTCCCCCCCGGGTCTCAGCGGACAGGGGGCGGCTCTCTCCACCCCCGGCCCGAAGCGGGTCACGCAGGCACTACGCAAGCGGTAGCTATTCCATACTCACATGCAGGCCCTTCTTTCCATAGGCTATCCCTCGGCCATAAATGGCACTAACCAGATCAGGCTCCTCCTAGTCAGACCAAAACAAAAACACGTGAAAAACTATAAACAAAACAAACCAAAACAAAACATAAGTCAGTTTCTGCCTAAAGCACGTTAATGCCACAAGTGACAGCTCCACTCCACGCGGCCACACTCGGAAGTCCACACACAGTCCCCAACCAGGAACGTCTGCATGCTTGAAGCTCATGTGCATGACACACGCAATAAGAGTTCTGCATTAAAAAAGATACTAAAATAAAGAGAGCTGACAATGCTGAGCTCTGTGCTAGTGTCTTTCGCTGTCATTGCATTAAAATGTGATCCCCTCCACAACTCCGAGACCGGCAGCGCCAGCAAGCGTGTGTCACGGAGCAAACGGAGGCTCAGAGAGGCGAGCAGATGCGAGTGAAGGACTAGGGGATGCCTCCTCCTAGTGCAGACGTCTCCTCTGGTGAGATCACGGAATAATCTGGAAGGGAAGGATCCTCAGTGCTGACACGGTGAGGGATACGACACGAGTCGGCTCCACAGCCGGGGGCGGGGGGGATGAACACGGTCCTTGACACCGACGGTCACTTCCTTTCCGCAACCTGCCCTCAGATGGGCCGACGGGAACACCTCGTGGGCCCAAGGGCAGAGCGTCTGCTGGCCCGGCCCCCGAGCCCCTGCACACAGGCAGCGGTGTGACGGCCCCACGCGCTGCGCGAGGTGCCCCTGGGGACCTGCGGCCTCCGCACTTTTGACCTCACCCCTGAACCCTGCCCTGTATATTTAGGAAGGAGTAATGAGCCCATGCCTACACGATCCTGGGGGAAACCCTGGACCCTGCTAAGGAATGTAATAGGACGGTACCAGATGGGGCACGTGACTGGCTGACCCACTGCTCAGGTCAAACCTGAGAAAGGGGGCCGGCCAGGACTGCAGAAGAAGACCTCAGCTTCAATGGTGAGCGTATAAAACCCTGAAGGAGGAGATGCAGTGCAATGAAAGGAAAACAAGGCTCCTTTCCACAGAAGGAGGCCCCTCCGCATCAAGGGCACGCTGGCGCGCCTCTGGCTCCCCCAGGCCGGCAGACGAGCCTCGCACTGCACGCAAATCGGGAGACCTCAGGGGGACAGTTACAGGTTTCCAGCTCCTCTTGGAAAATGAAAAGATTCAACAGAGATAGCCCACAGGACAAGAAAGAAAGAAAAAAAAAAACTAGCGTGAAGTACTGGCTGTCTCTTGAGATGGGGGTGTGGACTCATCAGTTCCGCACACGCCCACCTGTGGTACGCTCGCTCACTCAGGTCACCTCCCGCCTGCCACGGAGCTTTGGGTTTGTGAACTGTAACTTAGAGGTAATTGGTATGAAAGGCTATCTGTGCTATTTGATACGTAAACAAGTTCCACATAATCACAAAGGAATGGCCGTTACTACCACTTTTCTTCTTCTTTTAAAAGATTTTATTTCTTTATGTTTAGAGAGAGGGGAAGGGAAGGAGAAAGAGAGGGGGAGAAACATCAATGTGTGGTTGCCTCTCATGCGCCCCCTACTGGGGACCTGGCCCACAACCCAGGCATGTGCCCTGACTGGGAATCGAACTGATGATCCTTTGGTTTGCAGGCTGGCACTCAGTCCACTGAGCCACACCAGCTAGGGCTGGCCGTTACAGCTTGTAACTAATGCTGATACGTGACGTGTGGGTCAGTATGGGCACTGAAGAAAGCTCTCCAAGTATTCACAGCCATTCTCACAGGGCGGGGGGAGGGTGGCATTACTAGATATGTTTTCATTCTACTTAACACACTGCTGTACTCTTTTTCATTGTCTAAAACAAACATGTATACGTGTAAACAAAAAAATGTTTTAAGTACTATATTACTAGAAAAAATAGTGCTATAAATAAAAAAGTCAATTTAAATAAATAGTAAATAGCAAATGTCATGTAAATTACAGAATATTTAGAAAGGAAAGGGCGCCCTATCACCCTGCCACCCAGAGGTAACCCTGGAACACTTAAGGAGCCTCCTGGCAGAGCAGTGGCTTGGCCAGGGAGGGTCACGGACACAGAGAGAGAGGGGCAGCAGGAGAAAGCCACCCACTGAGGAATCCGGGTCGCCCTGTCTTCACACTTTTCCATGGCAATAACCCCCACCAGGGGGTAACACCGTCCAAGAACAGCGCCTCGGCCGGGCTGGCACGGGCGGCAGGGAGCCTGCACAGCTGTCCCTCCCACGTGATTCTCCAGGGAGGGGAAACCCTACTCAGGTTTGTGGTGCCTCAAAATAATACTATGCGAGGAGTTTTTCTCCTAAAACTGAGAATATTTTTATGCCAGATGCTCATGCCGTGCATCAGAAAAAGGAGCATTTAAATAAACAGTTGTTCTACTGGTGTGACTGTCATCTCCGTGCATCCTGTGGCTGGACCAGCCGCCCTGGAAGGCATCCTCGTCTCCCCGCCCGACGAGCCTACTTGTGAAATCCTGGACGATGTAGCTGCTGAGTGTCTCTGCTGTCTCCCTGCCAACCCATCCCCCCCCCCCCCGCCCTGGCCCAGGCTGCTGTGACCGCCTGGCCCTCCCCCGTCTCCTCCCTCTCACGCTCACACTGAGAGGTAGGTCCCTGTCGATCACGGCTGCCATGCCCCGCCCACTGAGACTACTCATTGCCTCCCAACACCTACAACTGTGAATGACATTCCCCTTTTTACTCCAGTCCATAGAAAGAAGTGCATTTTCTGATGCGACCCAGTACACACACACACATGTACATTACACACATACATATACATACACGTATCAGAAACAAAAATTTCATTAAGCCACACCCAAGCTGCCATACACAGTATGATCTGACATTTTCTAGTCTAATATATTTCATTTTCCAAAAAGGGCTAGTCTTGGTGTGCCAGTTAATCTCAGGTCCTCCTAAAATAAAGGGCAACTGGCGACTTGAAGATAAAGGTGACATCTCAATGCCTTTGCAGAAAATGCCGATGACGTTCCGCCCTCCTGTCTAGCCAGCCTCCTCTCCTCCCACTCCCCCACTGCGCTCTCCGGAAGTCAGCACCGCCATCAGGTCCCTGCACATGAACCGCTCCCCCAGCTCAGTGCAGGAGCAAGCGCTGCCCCACTGGGGTGAAAGGCTCACTCACCGCCACCTCTGTGCCCGTGGAAGAAGTCCTTCCACCCCTCCGGCTGTGCTCAAACACTCCCTCTCCTCTGACTCCTCCCAGCCCCCGGGACCACAGAAGTGCTCCTTCTCCTTGGTTCCTGTTATACGCAGTAGGGACGTCAGCCATTCGTCCATTAGACAGGGCGGGCTCTCAGCCAGGTCCGATTCCCGTGCTAGAAATGTCATGGGTAGCAAAAACCAACACAAAGGCAATGGATTCTTGCCTCCTCAGAGCAGAGCCAAAGAACCCCAAATACAAGTGTAGTTAAAGCTTCAATACGTGTATGCCAGAGAGTGAAGAGTGCTCTTAGGAAGTACGTAAAGACCTGGACAAGGTTAGCAAAGCCTCTCTCTGGAGGAGGAGCCAGGGCTGAGATGCACAGGGTGGGGGATCCCAGAGTGGCTGCTGCACCAGGCAGGGGGGCCGCCACCACGGCCCGAGGGAAATGGAAACAGGAAACAGGAAACGTGGTCCAAGATGAGGATGGAGCACCAGGTAAGAAATCTTACTGAGGACTTGTATCTTTAACCTAAAAGCACCAGCAAAACATGTGTGTGTTTATAGTACACGTGTACATGCGGTATGCGTGTGTGGGGGTGTGTGGAGAGTCTGAGAGAAGCCAGGAGGTGACGGCCACATCAGTCATCTGGTGGGTGACAGTGGCCTGGACGCGGCTTCAGCGGGGCCAGGAGGAGCGGAGGGACAGAGGGGAGGCTGCAGTCAGGAGCCACAGGGTGGGGCTGGGGTGTGGAGCGTGTGCACCCACGTGATCCAGTGGAGAGGCGGCCCCAGAGTGGGCACCACGGGCCACGACCAGGGGCCCCTTCCCAGTGCAGAGGGGGGCACGGGGAGGGGCCAGGGAGGAGCCAGCGGCCAGTGGAGGTGGAGCCTTTGGGTTAGATGCGTTTCAGACATCCAAGTGGATAGAGTTCCTTTAAAATAACTCCCTTGTTACATCACTATTTTCCATTTGGAGAAAAATACTAAGAAAAAAGGAGTCAACTGAATGGTTCCATTCAATTAGGGTTCTGTCGGGAATTTTTTTCCCAACAGCACAGATAGTCTAGTGTTAGACTACAAAAATACCCTAAAGGGAAGGACAAATTGAATGGCTTTATTTAATTTACATTTTCTTCTTGGAATTTTTTTCCAACAGCACGGAAGGATGTGTAATTACTGTGATTGTTAGTCATAGTTATAGTCTAGTATTAAAGGTCCCCAAATTAAATAGTAGCTTTTATTAGCTTTTTTGATTGATACAACTTTTTAATTTTAGCTACCAATGACTTTGGGTGTTAACAATAAGTCAAAACTGTTTATGAAATGTCATAATGAATTACAATTTTCAAATAAAACCAAGGTTTATTCAGCTCAGAATATCAATTTTTTCAAAGTTTTTTTGAGTATACAAGTCTAATGGTATTTACATTTTGCAGTTTTCAGAATTTTAAATAAAAACTAATATTCTCATCTTATATTACTTAATTTATGCAAATGCAAAATCATGGTATAACAAGATAGTTACTTTATCAGCGTGAAGTCCACTTAGATGTGTCAATTCTCAAAAAATTATTTTTTTATATGCACAAAGATCTAATTTACTGTCTTCATCATATTACTTATATAGTGCCTTTAAATTTTACAAATATTTACTTTTCCACCACAAGGCTGGCTTCCTTATTAACACTCGAAAGTCGCTGGGTCAAAGACACACAAGTCAGACAAGTCGCTCACGGCACAGCACTGCGACGAGAACCAAGGTCCGGCGAGCTGCAGACACACGGACATGTTTACACACACGACGTCTATGAGATCACATCAGAGGAGTGTTTCAGGTGTCTGCTAATGTAACGTAAGAAACGAACTTGTTTCGGGAGTCCAGGCCCAGCAGAGTCAGATCAGGGCCGGCCGAGCTCAAGGTCACACAACTAACAGTGAAGGCCACTCGCCTCACAAAGCTGCCGCAGCCCCGATGTCCCCAGCCCTGCACGGGGACCGCAGAGGCGCAGGAAAGGGTCCCGCTTCTGAAGAACGGAATCGCGGAGGCGCTGGCACCCGTGGCAGGGACACGGGGTGTTGGCGGAGAGAGGGCGCGACTCACGGGCGCGTAAAACCGGGGTTTCCTGTGAAGACGGGCAGGCCTACTGAGCCCCGAGACTGTGCTCAGCGGTCACAGGCCCTCACGCTCAGGAACATTTACTCCCTTACAGATGTACCACACAGAGACCACATTTAGATAAATACTCCAACGAACGCTTTGAAACAACACAGATTATAAAATCATCTCATACGTCTGTCCCTGAGGGTGCAGCTACGACAACAACGAGATGGGAAAGTCCTACATCAGAAGGCCACTGTGGCACGGAAGCGGCCCGCGTGCGTGGGTCCGAATTCACACTACACGACCCATGAAACGGTGACTCTCCAAAGACCCCAGCCCCTGGGGCCTCAACTGTTCTCAGCCTTCCAGAGACGGAAGCTTCACGGGCTCTCCAAAAAAAAACAGCTTGTCAAGAGTCAATGAACGGCATGACCCCCCTCTCAAAAGTCCGTGTGTGAACAGTTATGTCTGCAGATTTGTGGAAGGACGTTTACTGCCTTGAAAAGCGGAGCGCTTGCCAACGCGGAAGGTCCCGAGAGGACCAGGCGGACACGGATAGTACACGGGGACGACAGTTCTCGGGGCCAGTTAGGTCGGCCCTGGCTCGGGGGCATCCGCACCCAGGGAGACGGGCTCCCCACTGCTCCCAGCACTGAGCATGAGAAGGTGGTGTGGGGGTAAACACCAGTTTCGTTTCTGCCAGGCACAGTACCAGTGCGTTTGCCAATGAGACAAAAGGAAGAGCACTTAGATTTCAAGGACGGTCATACTTGTACCATGTCACTTAAAAAGGCTGCTTTACGCAAACTTTCGCCATGAGAAAAGGGTTTTAAGTCGATTGGAAGTGAAGCAACAACTATTCTTCGCACACTGGCTGCCACCTCCATGTACAGTTTACCGATAAGACCGGCTATCAAGAATTTGAAGAAATCAATAAAAAAAAAAACCTCTTACTTTCAAACATCAGCCTAATATGGAAAAGTTTTGTCCAGAAAAGCAGGAACAAGTTCCTTATTAAAACAGCAAAAAGAATTTCAGCATTGAACATCAAATTTTTGTACTTTGATGCTGTCACAGTCATATAATACAAAAGTAACGTGACAAATGTCACCAACTCTACGTGGCATCCAGCTTTGCTCCTGTTTGCTCCGGCGCACCATGCAGGCGGGATCTCCCACACACGTCCTCATGGGTGAGCGCTGGGAGGCACCAGAAGGGAGGGTGGGAAGAGACGCGCCACCAAGAGGAGCCCCAGCAGGAGACCCCAGGGCACCGTTGCTGCACCTGCAAACGCTGCGGCCCACAGCCCAGGTCTGTCTCCTCTCGGCCGGCAGCGTCTGAGCTTAATCGCTGCTCCCTCGGTCCCCACTCCTGCCCATCGACGGCCTGAATCACCAGAAAACCAGTCCACGCACTCACAGAGAACAACTCCCCAAGTGAGAGCAACCCACTGTCTCATGGATTGACGAAAATGCTGTATTAAATTTTAGAATATCAGAATCTTTTCTCAGCACAAAGACTTACTTTCTGAACACAAGTGGAAGAGAAATATGTTTTGCAACAACAGATGGACAATATGAAAGCATGTTATAGAGCCAATTAAAATCATGAAATTGTAGAGAAATACTGAAAAACTTTTACTTATAAATAAAACTAAGCAAAAACAATACAAAACAGTACATGTAAACAGATTATAAAATATAGATGCATGCTTTGAAAAGATCATAAATAAAAAAACTTTAATGGGAGAGTGACAAAATTTTAAAAATTTTACTGAAGTTTTTTTCTTTAACACTGTTATACTGCCTTCAACTACAATGGTAATAATATTTTCAAAAAGTTGAATGAATTGATAATATATCTGCAAGCTTGCACTGTTTTCTGCTGTTTGGTCACCATAATTAATTGACATTTGTTCCTATAAATGTATCAAAACCTCCCCATTCAAATAAGGGTCAAGTATTAACTGTAAAACTCCTTGTTTACCTTTTATTTTATTTTTTATTTTTATTTTTTCCCATTCATTTACTGATGGGCACCTAGGTTGCTTCCAGCACTTGGCAAATTGTGCTGCTATGAACATTGGGGTGCATAGGTTCTTTTGCATTGTTAAACAGAAAGGCGATTTTAAAAACTATTTACACTCTCTCCTTTGTACTTGAAACTCCGCTGAAGAATATTATTCCACACAACCGCCCAAACACACGGCTCCTTGAGGACTTTAAAGTAATAACTAAAAGAAATCTCATCGATTCCTTTTTAGGGCAAAGGTAGAATTACCAATATGACTAAACTTACATTCAAAAAAGAGAAAGCAAAAGCACTGCAAAACCTTCAAAAGTAGTATCTTGAAACTAAGTCTACCTGCTGGACCATAAACCATCTGCTGGCTTTTGCTTCCAGAAGCTGAAATTTACTGAGCACTTACTATGTGCCAGACTGGATATGGCGTATCTTACAGGACAGTTAGTTTAAACCTAACGAGAATGTTTCTGGAGGTGGTTACTCTTATTCCCATAATCCAGGAGGTTAGATAACTTGCTGGCAAGCAGCTGAGTGGATTGGAACCTGGGCCATCCCACCTCTCCAGCCCACGTTTTCTTCACTCCTCTCTGGGGACAGACACATTGACAGCCGACAATGAAACGGTCAAGCAGCGACGAAAACACAGCTAAGTAAAGGCAGGACATGTGAGGCCAATGATGTTAGGCTCCATGAAGTGTCCCCTTTGCGCCTCTCTATGTTATCCATGGATATTTAAGGGCTTTTCCTTAATCAGATTTTAATGCAGCTATCAATCAAAGTCCCAGTCCTTCCACTGAAGAGTTTCATAATTATACTTTCAAGCAGGAAACAAATCCATGAGTGGAACTTAAATTAACCACAGAGAGCAATTCCTGCATAGAAAGGTGACATCTGGAATTCCAAGAATTAACCAGTGTCTACAACTCCTGGGAGATATTACGGTCGAGAGAAAATAATGACCGTCTGTTTACACTTGCACCTGAACCCTCCCACGCTGCCCCCTGATGGCGGGGAGACTGTCAGCGAAGGGCCTGGCCTCAGACCTCGTCCTCCTCATTCAGAGGAAGGCTGCAAAGGCTGGCTGAGGGCACGGTCCCAGGCCTGCGCCAAGGAAGTGCTCGCTCGGAGCTGACCTTTGACCAGACAGCTTATCGCAGCACTTCCACTACACCTAAGTCCCTATCTTTACCACGGCTGTAAACCTGAAGTCACATAATAAAGAAGAACAATTACCTGAAGCATTGTGGAGAAGTGTCTTATTGCTTCGTCATAGAGACCACTGCCAATCAACACATAAGCGATAGCTGTGGAAGAAAACACAAAAATATTAAAGGACAGAATAAAGCATCGCAGACTAGAATCGGTAACTACACTCTCTACTGAATCTCAAAAGGCAGCTCCAAGGACTAGAAGCAGTTAAAGAAAACCTAGACGTTAATAAGATGTAATTGAATTCCTCTACCACTCAGCACTTGCTAATCAGTCTTCTAGTTCTATCCAGATTTCAATTATTAAAGCCATCTATAAAACATCTGCTTACAAGAAGTAATAATCATTTTCCAAGGCCATTGCTCACTTTCAAATACCAAATAACCTCTACGATGTTCCCTATCTATCTTATCTATCTATCAAAAGAGCTGGTAACAAGCTGGACAGTATCCAGATAAAATGGCAATGTGATTTACTGTGAACGCTGTGAGAAATGCCCAAATAGCACCACAAATCTCAATTCCTGGGGGTGCTAAATTTATACCAATTACCTAATGAGAACAAAAACAGAGGCTCAAATTAATACACATTAATATAATACTTAATTGTAAATACTTCACACCACTGCAGCAAAATGGTAGTCTTTTTTCTACCTCTCCGACTCAAAATATAGTCAAAACACTACTCAAAATATTCAGTAATGATGAATAGTTTTGATCAAATTGTTTAGGTAAGTGGTATTTTGAAATTAGACACATGACAATCTTTTAAAACACAACAAAATTTTGAATAAACTTTTTTGCCTGTCATAAAAACATTAAATTGTATCATTATAGATTACATTTCCACATAACATTTGTCCTAACTCTGTACACTCTCAAATATACCTGATAAAATATATTCCTCATTCAATATAATACTATGTTGATCACATTTCTTTGCAAAAAAGCTGTATTGTGACCAATTCTGGGACCTAACAGGTGTTGAAGAAGATGGTCAGGTAAAACTCTTACTGTGCTTAAAAGCTTAAACTTCCCAACAGTTAAAAGTAGGAAAAAATAAATAAATAAATGCAGTAGAAACATTAAATGCAGAAAGAGATTTAGATTAGCTTTATAGCTAAATTAAAACAAAGTAAAGTCCCAAGACCTTCAGCAGATAACAACACAAAAGCTTTTGAGGGCATTCTTCAGAATAAAAAAAAGGACTGTTTTGGTCCTAATTTCTTTGAAAAGATCTATTAAGGTCAAACTTAGTTTTAGAATAAGAATGAATGCTATTCAGATAGTTTTATCAGAGTACAAGATAACCAAAAACTCCCTTGGCAGGGCACCGTCATACTAGCAGCAAAGAGAATCAGTAATAACGTTACACGTAGGGCCCTCTTCCGGCTCACAAGACGCAGTGCCGAACACTGCACGTATTAACGCATTTACGCCTTTCATGCGACGAGATGGGCGTGGTTACCGCCCCCACGTGCAGACAAGCATAAGGCAGCTAAACTGTCTTGCATGATTAGGGACTGAAGCATGAACCTGACCTTCTGGAATGCAGGGAGGTGACGGTACATTGGAAAGCAAAGATGTGGGCTCAGATTCTGGCCCCACCACTCACCGGCCATGCGAGTGGGGCTGGGGGTGGGGGGACCTCAGTTACTTTTCATTACTAGCTGGGTCTTGCTTAACAAGAGTGTACAAAATTTCTTAAGATTCCTCCCACATCTAAATGTTGGGAATCTGCCCTGGCTGGCGTAGCTCAGTGGATTGAGTGCGGGCTGCGAACCAAAGTGTCGCAGGTTCGATTCCCAGCCAGGGTACATGCTTGGGTTGCAGGCCATGACCCCCAGCAACCACACATTGATGTTTCTCTCTCTCTCTCTCCCTCTCTCTCTCTCTCTCTCTCTGTCTATGTCTGAGTGTCGAATTCCACTCGAATAAACCCTAATGAAGCTCTCAAATGTTTCCATCTAAAAGTGAACATGTTTGGAATAAAAAAAATCTCAAAAGTATCCATTAAAAAAATAATGCAAATCTTATACAAACGTAAGTACACAACTATTAGAATCTAAGTTTTCTTATGGAGTCCAAAGGAAACGTAAAGAAAAAAACCTGGGATGGCTGGAATTCTCACAGAAATCGTTACTAACTGACAATTCTACGTGTCCTGGCAACAAGCATGTTGACAGAAGTCATTTCTCCAAGGGAAAAAAAAAAATACTGTGGTACATACAAAAGCTCCTAGGCCAGCTCAGGGCCTGTACGGTGCCAGGGTCCACTAGGGCTGTTCTTAGAGCACAGAACAGGCCTAACACAGACGAGACCATCATTTATTACGGAATAAATAAATATGAGGCTAAACAGAATCCGAGGACTCCAGACGAGGCCACATCTGATGCCTTAGGGGACTTAGTTATCTAAGCCTGCTCAAAGAATATCGCCAAAAGTGATTAATACTTTCAGAGCAGCGAACTCTCCATTATCTGCACCGACAGAGGAAACGGGCTAATAGAAGAAGCGCTCAGTCCTCGTATCAAATGCGTGTGGCCACAGAAAGGATACGTGATTAGGTGTGATGACTAGGAAAACTTTTCTGTAGGCGCCTGGAGCGAGCACATGCTCCTGTGAAGCCTGACCAGCTGCACTGTTCGGTCCGTACGCGATTTTGTTCCCACTCCTTCGAGTGTGAACGGTCCCCTACGCCATTTGGTTCCCACTCCGAGAGAGAGCTGACCGGGCAAGGCGGAGACACACCCAAAGGCCTATCAGACACGGGAGAAACCAGCCTGTCTTAAAGCACGGGCAAGCCAACCGCATGGCCCTCCTGCAGGTCTGAGCAAACTCCACTTTTCCACCCCCAGGTTCTTACCCCAGTGACTGTCCTCCTGAGTAAGATCAACCCAAACCCATCTATTCTATGACATGGAGGATGAAAGTCGGCGCAGTTCTCTCCTGCTTTCACTCCGTTGTTCGTATTTGATGACGGCACACAGTTAACCTTTTAGTGAACGGGAGCTCCCAAGAACTCATTACCATACTTATTAACTTCCCTGGAAACACAGAGCTGGAACAGTCTTCCCGATCGTTCCATCCAGACCTTTTATTTCATGACATGATCCATGAGCCCACACAGGATCCAACCACTCATGCGAGAACAGCCTGACTCTGCCAGCCTCTGGGCTCCCTCCGCCTCACCGTCCCACCTGCCTGCTCCGCATCTGATGGCAAGTGAGAGGCAGGAACTCCCCCGGCTCGAGCCTCACCTAGCTCCTCATTGGTGCTGTCGTTATCAGTGGCAAATGGGAATCTCTTCTGTTCTGCAATAGTCTTGGCCTGGCTCTGGAATTAAAAAAAAAAACAACACACAGACATTTTAGCTTATCACAAATGAAGAAAAAAAACACAAACCTCTCTTTTGAAAAATGTAAGCCCCATTTAATTTACATGGAAGCAATAAAATTCCACTTTAAATATATCAGTTGCGTACCACTGTCTGTGTGTAACTCATACGCTTCCTCCCCAATCGTCAGTGGTTCCGTTTCCAGGAACCAGCACCCTTCCCCTCCACAGAGGTTCACCTTGCTGGCCGTTTCAAAGGTCCTTCCACATGTTCACAGACCATTTAATGACTTTAACTGCACTGCAGAACATCACATCCTAGCGATCAGTTCTTCAATGCGCCTTGATAACTGAAGACTGCTTTTTAAGCCCTGGCCATACTTTAGAAGCAAGAGCTACAAGCTGTACAGAGATGACACCATGAAAGGACCCACAAAATGTGAGTCCAAGAAACAAGACATTCTGTTGAACGACACCCAGCAAGTGATGAACCCAGCCCTCCCCACACTCAGGAGATTCGCCCCTGAAGAGCCCACGCAGACACACCCGTGCGTGGCAGGACAGCTAAAGCAACAGTGGGGACCGGGGGAAACACACTGTCTCATATAGAAGTCAGCTCAGGAATTGAATAATTTCACCTATGGGATGCGTCCACCGGTCAAAGTGAGGGTGCTACCCTGTTTCAGAGACAAATCGTGTCTAATAAACAGCCGCTGGCTCCCCAGAAGGCTTGGCTGTCGACGCTAAGCTGAGGTACACTTAGCCTGCAGGGCTCACAGTAACACAACTTCATACCAGAGTCACCTAAGACGAGATTAAAAGTCGTGCACACACACAGGCAGGGAAAGCTAAGACAATCGGGCACTTCTGCAGAACCCTGGAACTGGAACCCAGTGACGTCATAATCATTTGACCTCTTCTTCTTTGGAACCCACATTCCACAAATGACAACCAAATAATTGCAACTGGACCCTCTTCTGACCCAGGCCTGCGGTCCTTAGCCAAGGACTGGGATTCGTCAGCCACGATGAACCGTGCTCTGGGGCTTCGCTGACTCAGACCACAAAGCAACAAGGTACGTCCACTCGCATTCCCTGACACTCTGGACGTTCGGACACACAGCAGTGTCCGGTCTGCCCATGGAACAGATCAACAACGAGGTACCTCTGGTTACAACACCAGCAAAAAGGCCAGAGCATCGCCGCCCAAGAGTCACAGCTGTCACTTCGCCTCAGGACCCCGGACAGAATGAAACGCCTGAGAAATCTACCACTGCGGGAGGTTTCACGCTTTACTTCCTGCAGGAAGGCCTCGATGACTAGAGGGAAGCTCAGCGAGTTCCCTCCTGGTTTGCTCTTTAGCTGGGAGCGTCTGCACGTGGGAACCACGTAAGGAAGGCCTCAGGAAGCGGCACATCTGACACGACGAGACAGAATCACAGCGCCATGTCCATGTCCACATGTGACCGGACATGAGTCCTTCCTCTTCGTCAGATGAGGGCCGAGCGCACGGATGCAGAAAGAGATCTTTCTGCTTAATAAGTTGCCGAGAGCCAAGAAAAGGAGGCTATAAATAATTATTTTAATATTTAACAAGTCTTATTAATTTCATGCAGCGTTCGGTGAGAATCTACCATTTGTCAAGGTTTTCTGCACAAAGAGATGGGAAGAGAACAGAAATGAAACCCCATTAGAGGAGGAAATCACTTACCAGGCACCACCAAGAGTACACTGAAGAGCAATTCTGATCAAAAACTTTTTATTACATTAGAAGTAAAATCTGTAGCTGAAGCGGGCAGGGCATGTGCAGTACGGACAAACTCGCTTCCTGATCAGAAGGAGCCTTAGCCTTTCCCCTGTCCAGCACCGCACCTGCAGGGGCCCCTGTGGACAGAGGTGTGGGGTCACGACCAGGACCCACGTCACCAGTGGGCTAACTCCAATCAGCCTGCAGGCCCCAGCCGACACTTCAGTCCCTCAAAGCTGGCTCACCTGATCCCTGTTCTAAGGAAAGTATGTCGACCCTGTGCTTTTCTTCATGCGATTCGCATAGTTGTGCTCTCGTGTTAATTTGTACAATTACTTGGTGAGCGACTGCAAGAGTCCCAAGTACAGGCACCGAGGCTGTCTGGCTCGCTGCTGTATTTCCTGATTTGCTTAGCATGACGCCTGCCACAGAACAGGTGCAAAATAAATATCTGGAGAATGAAGGAAGGAATGAGTCATCTAACGTCTGTATCTTTAACTTAGGGAAGGAAAACAAAAGGCCAAGATCGGAGGCTTTCTCCCTGGGTTACTAGCGAGTGCTGTCTTAAACTGGAAACGCACCTGGTAGAAAAGACTCGCACTGCTGTCAGTCAGAAGCTCCCTCAATTCTAAGAACCTGATCGCCAGTCCAAGGTGGGGATTAGCTAATCCCTACTAATCGTTTGCCATGACGGCCAACTCACTACTTTACAAGATAGCTCAGTCTAGTCTTGGACAAGTCTAATTCCAAAGTTGTTCCATATGTCGATCTGACTGCTACTCAATGAGTCAGGCAGAATCAGTTGATCATTCTCTAGTCTGCAACTCCTACCTGTTTTCAGTAGTTCTTACAGGAAAAGGCAAAGCTTTGCTTGGAAAAGAAAGGGTATCTTGAAGTGGAACTTTAAATGAAAGAAGACAACAATGATCGACGTGGATGTTGAAGGGAAAGGCCCGGAGAAAAATCTGTTGGCCTGGGCACTGAAAGAGTGACTCGGCTTCGCAGCACTGAGTGTGAACAGCGAGCAGAGCCTGCCCCTGGAGGCAGCGAGGCCAGGGGAGCACGCGTGCCAGCGTGGACAGACGCATGCAGAAGGTGCTGGTGCTGGTACCAGGCACTCGCCCCGAATGGAGAGGTCTCCTGCACCGTTTGGCTGGTACTGATAAAACTACAGACATGTAAGATATCCACACAGCCGAGGGCTGGAAAAATAAGATTAAACTGTACTTTCAAGTACCCAAGGCTCCTGGAAATAAGGCTCATGACCCCCTTTTATTCCTGGAACTTAACAGTGAAATGTTCCAGGTCCAGCGTGACCGACCACACGATTCAGGGTCAAGATGAGTCAGTGCGATCGAATGCCAGATGACCGGTCTTTATCTTACGCACGTAGAACCACGGGGCTGACTGCTAGCGGAGAAGCTGGGCAGCCTCCACCCCTCGGGACCAGCACCGTGAACCACAGGGCGTGGACAGGAGCTGCGTACCAGGATCTTCTCGGTGTTGAGGGACAGCAGCGAGTCGCAGGGCGGCAATCCTCGGGCCTCGCAGTCCGAGTCGTGGAAGCTCAGGAAGGATGGCTCTGAAAAGCAAACGTTCCTTGTTACTTGCGTGAGATTTGCGGCTCGTAGGAGCTCAACTAGGAACTGGAATACTAAGGATCCTCAAAACCAGAATCAGGACAAGTATGTATATTCCGCCTCGATAATGACCATACACACCATTCACAATGGCCCTCCCATCCATTCTGGAAGTGCTCAAAGCCCGTGAGACCTCCCGGAGGCTGAAACGAGGTTAGAAGGGCCGGAACTTATCTAAGGGCCGCAGGGCAAGAATAGCTCCAGTCCAACGCCAGTCTCACTGCACACGTGCCACCAGTACAGCCGTGGAGACCCCTTCATCGGCCGTCTCTAGCTGCGGCGTTTATCAAGGACTAAAAAAAAAATCATGAACGGGAAAACGTAGCCAGCCCGGGGAATCTAATGTTAAAAGATAGGCACTACGGGTCTAGTATCACAACATACAAAAAACTCCTAAAATTCAACAACAAAAAAGACAACCCAACCAGAAAATGGTCAAAGGACTTGAATAGGCAGTTTTCCAAATCCATAAAAATGGCTACTACATTCATGAGAAGATGCTCTACATCATTACCAATCAGGGAATGCAAATCAGACACGGAGGGACCATTTCACACCCACTAGGATGACCATAAATATTTTTTTTTGGAGTGAGAAGTCTCAATTGTTGGCGAGGATTCGAGAAATCAGAGCCCTTGTGCGTTGCCAAGGGGATGAGCAACGGTATGGCCACCGCGGACAAGTCCGATAGTTCCTCAAAAAGCGCAATGCAGAATGAGCACACGAGCCTGTCACTCTGGTCCCAGGTAAATACCCAAAAGAACGGCAACAGAGCTCAAACAGAACGTGTTCCTGCACATTCACAGCAGCACTGCTCATGGCAGCCCAAAGAGGACACAGCCCAAACGTCCGCCCGCAGGCAACGCATGGACAAACTGTGGTGTGGAATACGCACGTGCGCTGGGATGCCATTCAGCCTTAAAAAAAGAATGAAGTGCTGATGCATATTACAGCAGGGGGGAACCTCCAGTCAGAAATCAAGTGAAGGAAGTCAGACACAAGGGGTCCAGCACCATACGATTCCACGAATATGCAATACGCGGACGGGCGGGTCCAGAGACAGAAGGCACAACGGTGGCTGAAGGAGGAAATAAGGGGACACCTGTTCATGGATAGGGGGTTTACTCTGGAGTGATGAGAACGTTTGGGGGTGACTGCACACCACTGTGAATGTACTAAATGCCACTAAATTGTCCACTTAACACATTGTTTGCGGGTAGTTTTTATCGAGCACTCTACTACCAGTCAACGTAAAACGTATAAATACGTTTCCCGCATACAATGTGTTAAAAACAATTAATTTTATGTTATGTGAAGTTTGCCTCCATAAACTGTTTGAAAAGATAGGCTCTAACTCAGTAGTCATAAATGAGCATCAGATACGCTCGAGGAACCACGTGAGCCAGTTTAGCCCAATTCTCACGTGTGCACGTCTTAGCAACAGGAATGAGGACAGGACGTGTCGGAGGAGCCCTGATGGGTGAGCCGTCGCTGCAGCTGGAATGTTCGGTTCACCAGGACAAGCCGGGCTGAGGGGGACAGGAGGTCAGACTGGGCCGCAGAGAGGGAGTGGACGTGCCAGGTGGGAAGAGGGACGTGCACGCAAGTGCAACGGCGAGAAAGCTCAGAGGGGCAGTGAGCAGACCACCCTGGCTGCAGGCGGCAGCTGGTGCCGGAAAACAGAAAGTGAGGCTGGCAGGCGAGCGGTCAGACCGAGAAAGTCCCGGACACAAGAGAGAGGCTTCAGTCTGGCAGCAGTGAAAACGTCATGGCTGTTGGTAGGTGCTGAAGGGTAGTGACTTGAGCGAGACGTTTTGGAAGTCCGTTCACTTATGACCTGTTTCTCCTGTAAAAAAGCTGACATTTGAGACCGCCTGCCCCCCCATATGCTAAGCACAGTGCTAAGCATTAAACTGACAGTGCCTTATTCTATTCCAATAATCCCTCTGCCTTTATGGAATTCACTTTGGTTTCAATAAATAAATGATCTATAGAATTTTAAGGGGATGCATAGCATTTTGCTGCATGGAAGTTAATCACATTCCTATCACTGAGAAATTAAGATGCCCTTTCCTTTTTCCTTAATATAAGGAAAAGGGGGTTTCAATGAGTATCCTTGACCTACGCTGTTGCAAATGTACCCAATCAGGCAATGGAATTAAATTCTAACAAATACCGCTTCTGAGACAAAGGGTCTGAACAATGCTAAAACCCTTCATGGGTGTTGCTCCCTTTCCCTCCCAGGGTGCGGTGGTAATTCCAGCCCCAGGGGCAGCGTCTGAGACGGGCTATTTCCCTCTAGCAGAGTGCCGGCTCTTCTTCGTCTTCCCAGCCTTAAAATAGTACCAGTAAGAGCAAACTGTTGGTGTGTTGGCCCTTTGTATTTCCTCTTTTGTAAATCGCTTAAATCCTTTGCTCATCTTTAAGTCCTCTGAATCTACTCCAGCATAAGATGTAGAAAATTCCTTAATTATTTCCCAAGTAGCCAGCTTTTCCAGCACCACTTATCAAATTACCATTTTGAATGCCAGCTTTACAACAGAGTCACCGGGGTGTGTTCCTAGACTTTTTAAAAAGGAATCTGAGATTATATCCAACTTCTGCAACAGCTGAGAGGCAACTGTCCATCTCTGCATGAACATTTACTTTTAAATGTTACAGTAATTCATGTTCACTGTAGAAAATATAGAAAAACCCAAAACATAAATAACAGTCATTCAGAATGCCTACATGCTTTGAGACCCACGGGGAGAGTGTTGGCATCTAATTAAGAGACCAAATTATGGTGATAATTCTGAAATCAGGTGGCCTGGGTCTGAGTTCCTTCTCTCTGCACTTCTTACTAGCTCGTGGCCACTAACTCAGCCTCTCGAATCTTCAGTTTCTTTATTTGCAAAACAGAACCAAAGGCAGTATCCAGCTCACCGATGGGGTGTGAGATTTAAATAAGGAAACATACGTCTATTACTCTTATCATCAGCAGGCTGTGAGAACTGAGACACAGTTTTGTAACCTGCCCTTTCGATTTAACAATATAATGTGAACGTTTTGACAGATGATTACATTTTCTTCTACAGCATTTAAAGTGGGGAGATTATACATCATTTTTAATATTTTTAAATAAAATTTCAATTCTCTACAAAGAAAAACATGTGTTTTATTGCTGTCTCTAGACCTTCTGGCCCCTTACCATGGCGTTTATTCTGGCTTTTACTCTGACTTCAGTGTCAGACTGTTTCATTACTGTGACCTTACAGTACACGCACACTCGTATATCAAATGTAAAGCAAAGCCTCAATTTTTTAAAAAATATCTTGTCTATTTGGATAAACATTCTTCCTTCAGGTAAACTTTAGCCATTTTGTTAAGGTTCCAAAACAAAAATCATATCCCTCTGACTTTTACTGAAAAATATACTAAAATTGTAGATGGAGAAGAATCCTTGACTTCTTTACAAAATTTAATCTATCTAGTCAAGTCTTTTATGAACCCATTTGAAACTTTGTAACTTTTATACAGGATGTAAAGATTCGAGTTTGTTGTGATTTTAGAAACTGCTCGATTATCACTGAACTGATACATATTTGTTGGGCACATCTTCTGTTCCTGTCACTGCCTGAGCCTCAGTGACTGTCAAACCCAGAAGCGCCCCCTGTCCTTGTACCCAGGGATTACAGCTCGGTGCGGCGGAGAGGACAGTAATCAGAGTCACACAAAGGATGTAAGATCACAGCAGCGTAAGAGCTATGAGTCAGAGCGTACTCCAAAGTGGCCTCGTGGCAGGGGGGTGGGAAGCGGCGGGGGGGGGCGGGGGGATCCTGAGGACAATAACATCAGCCAACACTGATATGGGTGCACCTTGTATAAATGGGCACCCTTCTAGTTCCCATTTTAAAGTCAAGGAAAAGGAGGCAGAGAGACAAAGTCACTTGCCGAGGTTCCGCGCCGGCAGAGCGGTGGAGGTGGGACTTGAGCCCAGGCAGCCTGGTTCTGGGGTCTGTGCCGTGAACTGGCGATGGCAGCCCCGGGCACAGTTGAGGATGTATCAATGAAGGTCGGTGGGAGGCTGGCAGGACCGGGAGAGTGGTCCCAGCGGGGACGAGCACCCTGCACATCTTGTGTCTTCTTAACCGACTAGAGCTGAATATTTCATCTGCCCACATTATTGGACTTAACAGCTCTATTAATGGCTCCATTTACTCAGTGAATAATTATACCATCTACATGCAATTATATCACAGTATTTTAAATATTTATACTCATTTGGCATCTTATTGTACTGGATAAGACCTCCAAAAAAGGGCTCAATAGTACTAGTGACAAAAGGCACTCCTGCGTATCCCTGACACTAATATTTAATGACCTGTAATTTCTTCAGCTTTTGATGACAAAACTTCTTAACATTTGTATAAATATCCAGTGGGAAGCTTCTGTATGTGGCTGTGGGTTAAGTTTGGTGTGTTTTACCATACAAAGGAAAGATTCTCCTATTCTTTGTTTTACTGAAAATTTCAAATCTGGGAAGCTGGCTGACTTTATCAAGTGCTTTCGGGTATTTCTTTAAGATAATCATACGATTTTTTTCCTCGGACCGATTAAGGGGATTGATCTGACTTTTTAAAAAAGTTGAACCAGGCCCTGGCTGGTGTAGCTTAGTGGATTGTGCACGGGCTGTGAACCAAAGTGTCGTAGGTTCGATTCCCAGTCAGGGTACATGCATGGGTTGCAGGCCATGACCCCCAGTAACCGCACATTGATGTTTCTCTCTTTCTCCCTCCCTTCCCTCTCTAAAAAATAAATAAAATCTTAAAAAAAAAGTTGAACCATCTCTGCACTTCTAGAATAAACCAACTGACCAAGGCAAATTGTTCTTTTAACTGCTTGCTGGCTTCAGTTTACAAATACTTTATTTAGGATTTTTATAACTATGTTATAGCTTTCT